GCTCCTGCCAACAAGAGCCGAAAGCAACTCCTCAATGGCACATGTTTTTGGAGATCTTGAGCGAGCCAGTGAGGAAATTATAAATCTGAAAGAACAAACTTTAACCAGACTTCTGAATATAGAAGAAACCATAAAGAAGGCTCTTTGTTCGGTCTCTACCTTGAAATCGGACTCTGATATTGCGGGTTTATCAAGCTTGTTCAAAGAGTCATTAGGGACAGTGCCAGGATCTCCCTCTTTTGGGAATATTAGAAAAATAAGCATTGGGTCAAGCAGAACGAAAGCGCAGCCGACAAAGGGAAATCCTGCTGAACCAGGAAACACAGCTGGGCCAGTTAGTGCAAGCGTCGACGAAGCCTCTTCAAAACAACAAAGTCCTCCATCTTCACCAGCCTTCATCTCCATCCAGTCGGCTGCCAGAAAGACGGATAAAGCAGGGGTACCTCCACAAAATACCACAATCTGCCCAACATGTCAGAACAACCCAAAGAGAGAAGAGAAATTCAGGACCACAAAAACCCTGACATGTAACAGCCCTGCACAGAACAGAAAAAGGGACCCCAGAAGAGGAGGGGGAAAACAACCCTCAAACCAACAACACAACCCTAAGCGGGAGCTCAGGGTGCTTGATGTGCAGACGGACAGTGAAGGAAATGGTATGACAGGAACTAAAACTGTTCCAAAGAACTTTGAAAGGGCTGATAATTCTGGAAACATGTTTTACTCCTCTAAAACTTCCACTGTCGTCATTACTCAGCCTGAAACTACGATATCCTCAGGGCTTACTGTGGCCACTCCAGCTACATATCATGTCACCTCGTACCCTGATGTTCGGCTGCCAGTCAATCAGAAACCTTAAAGGTGACATATCCTCCTCCCTTTCAACCAGTGTAAATAAGTGTCAGAGCTCCCCAAAACATATCTGTGAAGTTTCTTGTTCTAAATCCACTCTGATCCTGTATTTGATCATGCCTATAAACCCCTCTATTTCAGCCCTGCTCAGAACAGGCTGTTTCTGTGTCTGTACCTTTAAATATGTAAATGAGCTGTCTCTGACACCTAGCTGTGGGAGTGTCACTCACCTGGGGGAGGGGTTACTGCCCTTTGTGATGTCATGAAGGGAAAATCTCCAAACAGCCTGGGGGGTTTGTAGACGGACTAGAGACACATGTTAGAGTTAGAGGAACATGATGAAGTGGATATTGCATCATTATGTGACCATTAAATCGTTCAGTGACGGAATCAGTTTGTTACCTGTCGGCTTAGAGACAGCTTCCTTTTTAATATTCTTTATTGATTTGCTGCAAAATGTTATATGTTGGTTATTTTTGCTTGTTTTGTTTTATTCATGGGAAGTTATTGGTTTTAACATTTTCATCAGTGTTTGAAGTTTAAATTTTTAAAACTGTTTTTTATCAGTAGATGAAATGAGAAATGCATTTTCTGTTTTCATGAATGACTTTGTATTTGCTGTTAATGAATCCTTATTGTTGTAAAAAAAAAAAAAGAAAAAGAAAAGAAAAACATTTCTTTTTCACCAAGCTCGGTCTATTTTTTTTCTCCATCAGTTTCTACCTGCTTGTCAAGAGATGTGTTCAGCCTGTTCAAAGCCGGTTTATCCGATGGAAAAAATCACAGCAGACAAATACATTTTTCACAAAACTTGCTTCTGTTGTAAGCAGTGCAAGAAAAAACTGAGGTGAGAAATTTAAATATTCTTTAAAAATAAATCAACTGCAACATTGATCTATGATTCCAACACTTTGAAGATGCTGAATTTTGAATTGACCCTAAGGTGAGATAGACCAAATTGTAAAAAAAAAAAAAAAGACTCTGATGGCCTAGAGGTTAGGTCGCGCCCAATATACGGAGGCAATAGTCCTCCAAGGGGGCGACTTGGGTTCAAGTCCAACCTGTTGCTCCTTACCTTCATGTCATTCCCCACTCTCTCTCCTGATCCCCTGCTCTTTACTGTCAGCCACTTTGATTCTGCTCCACAACAACAACACCTCCATGTCACTCATCACATGTCCCTCAGTTAGCCAATCAGAGGCCAGGAGGATTAAACTCAATGTAAACGTTATGACAGCCACAGAGGTAGATTCAATATATTCTGGTCACAGTTACTAGATGTATATGGCTAAATACACTTCTATAGAGCATCTACTCTTGTAAATATCACATCTAATATTTGGGCCAATACCTACAAGTCACTTGTTTCCAAATTAATTTAATATCTGATTAATGAATTGAAAAATTGAACTTGATATTTTCAGTTGGTTCCACATCACAAGGAGAAAACATAATGTCACATCATTAACTGCTTTTTTGTTTTCCAGTGAACTTTACTGAACACTATCCTTAACCTGAACTGTAACTGACACCTTGTCCTCATTTGTACGTGTAGCATGCAAAATTATACACCTTTACACGGGGAGTTCTACTGTATATTTCACTACAAACAACTGTTCAGAAGAAAAGGGAATTATGATGAAGGCTTTGGACACACCCAGCACAAGAACCGATGGCTGCTACGGAGCGCTACCGATGTGTGCAATGAGGCTGAGTCTGAGGCATAAACACGAATACTGACAGAGTAAGTACCTGAAGGCAACCCTTAACATTTTATTTTTCTTGTCTCTATTCGGTATAATTCTTTTACATTGCCTACCTTTGAGTTATGTTCTTTTTGGGTCCGCAGCCATCGATGTCTGTGACAACATGGAGGATCTTTTGAAGATGTGTTTGAGATCCCACAATGGCCGCCTGCTGTCAAAATCACACACCTGTTCACACACTGATTTATAATTAAAGTGTGCAACAGAACAACTAAATTCCACACTAGCTTAGAAACTGCAGAAGAACACTAATGATGACACATGAAATCATCTTTTCTCCATAGGTAGTTGTATTATATCACCCTCTTGCTCTTTTTACTTAAAGGTGGAGTCAGTAGCTTTTTTCATTGCAGCATGTCAACACAACATACAAAGCGGGCCCCTACTCTTGGGCTCATCACCCCCCCAAGCACACATTCACTGCAGGACATAGTGTATATGTTTACTGCTTGTACCAGCTAACTGCTAGCACAAGCTAACCGCTGGTGTTTGGAGCCTGCCTGTCCAACAGAAAGCAAACCAACTCCTCGTCTGCAGAGTAAAAGCCAACATAAGGTTTGGAGAGTTTGTCCGCTCACTGTGATTATATTTTGTCGTCCTTTTCCACTATGTCCACGTCTGTCATATTCACTGGTTTGAATCACATCCAATTGCTGAATTGTATCTTTTAAACTCACCGACGCGCTGTGATTGGCTGGAGGAAACACACCAGCTCCCCGCCCAGAAATGTCCTGAGTCAACCAAAACAAAGCAGAACAGTAAAATCCAGTCAGACGACAGAGTCTCTGCAGACACAGTCACCACCACACATGTATGGGGGCCCAGAAGTGATGATTCAGCAGAATTACTTTTGTATAAGTCTCTAATTTTTTTTTTTAGGAAAAAGCTACTGACTCTTTAAACAAATTGCACTAAATATTTTTGTGCAATTCTTTCTTGTAACTTTCAGTTTAACTTGATTTTAGAAATGGAAAAAGTACAAATTCAAAGTGCATCAGGATGCTTACTGTATGTGCTTGTTGATAATAAAGAGGCTCATCACTCATCACTCTATTGAACTGTTCTTGTCTCTAATGATCAATGTTTCTGATATTGTGGATCCTACAAACAGTAAGCCGTTTTCTTGTCATTAATTATTTTGTATAGCAGAGGTTTGGCCATACTAGTGATGCCATTTTATTCTTACCTGACTATCTCAATAACTCAACAAAGCTTTCTCCATTGTTTTGAATTTGGACTGCAGTACCCATTTTAAACACTAGGTGTCAGAGTTACATATCGGTAATTTCAGTCTCTGACCAGGACGATCTGATGATTATATAATCTAAACAATTACAAAAAATGTTGAAACCTCCAGAATAAATTTTAGAAATCTATCAAAGCATAGTAAACCTACCTTTTTGGACAGCAAGGAGGCAAGCAGCATCTCCAAAAAGCAATAACCCTGCTTTACTTACTCTCCTTCCAAAGTGACTCCAGGGATGAAATGCATGATCTAAGTTGCACAAATAGCAGACTGAGAGGAATCAGTTCACCCATAAAACATCGGTAAGCCAATAATTAAGACAGTCGCTCTCACACAAGAAATTAACCCAATACTCAATTTTGCTACCAAAGACCACAGCTGACTTTATGGTCCCCTGTGTGTTAATGCCTACATTCCTGGAGGGGCTAACTTCAATTGAATAATTTTAATGGCTGTCAAAGTTAAGATGTTTGGATTGATCATGCAAGAGACAATGCTGTCAAATCAGGGGTCATAATAATGACACCTCCTGTACCTGCACAGATATATTTTATAAGACCACATAAATATAAACACTTGTTGAGCTTCAACACTAAACATTCCAAGAAGAAAGAGGGAGAGAAGGACTGAAAAGCCACTCTTGTCAGTGTTCCAGTTATGAGGAAAGGCCTGTAAATACCTGACCAATCACTAGCAAGCATGCTACGGATGCATAATGAATCAAGTTATTGTTCTGAAACAAACCACTCTCCTTTAGGATCTTTCGATAATTGCTCATATATTGATATACTTGGCTAATCCTGTACTTCAAAAAAATGTGATATGACAATCACAGTTTATATGGTTTTATCTCTATACTAACAAACAAAGTTTTGAAACTTATAGGCCGACCAGGTAAGGCAAAGCAAGGCAAGAGTCATTTTCACATATGCACTCCTGAAAATATCTAGATCATTATATACATATATATATATATATATATATATATATATATATATATGTATATATAAGATATTTATTTTATGGTTTCCATAAATCTGAGCTAGTGGGAGAATGTAGATGTTAAACAGAAGAGGTCCCAGGATAGATCCTTGGGGAATTCCACATGGAATTTCTGTTTGGTCAGATTATTGCTGGCATATACAATATTCTAGTTTTTTATTATTTTAACTTATTTAGTCACTAATAACATTGACAAGATGTAACAGAGCAACAATATATTGGCTTATTTATTTACAACAATTGACAAAACATTTGAAATTGATAGGAGCTTATGTTGATTAACTAATTTTCTAATAAACCTTCAGTTAGTGAATTAATTGTGATAATTGAAAGGAGAGAAAACTGGCCCGTTAATTTACTAGTTTCCTGGTTTCCGCTTCCAAAACCCAGGAAAGATCTGAAATCTGTAGTTGACAGCTTGAACACTTGATAGTACAATAAAACAATCAGAAACTGCACTTCTGGATATGTTTACAGTAACAATTAAAGCTTGTGCTCTGCTACAATTTGTCCGAGGTGGTCCTCTGAGGTTCCGGTGACTGGTTTTTTAAATTTAAGAACAGAAAAACAGAATTATTATCAAGAACAGACCATTTTCATAGAATAGCCATTTTCACAGACATCAGACTGAGAGTGGACAGTTTGAGTGGTGTCTTGTGAAGTCAGTGTGAAATTGCTAAATGGACGAGAGTCTTTATCTGTGTACCAACACTGCCCTTCAACAAATTGGCGGATAAGTTTTCCAGGAGCCCGCAAAAGGAATCAAAATATACAGCAACTATGGATATTGAAATTAAGACCCCTGGTGTCTGCTTTTACAGTACAGGAGCTACTGAAATAGTGGGCTCATAAAAAATACATTTGCTTGTGAAAATGTTGAAAAGAACCTAGCGTAATTGTTTCACAACCTTACCTTGATAATACAGTAACCTGAAAAAACGTACTGGGCATGAATACATCAAGTGAGTTTTACCAAAGGCTTATATAAATGTGTTTTAAGGTATGTAAGAATATTTTAGTTTAAAACACAGCTCATCTATCCTTTCCGGGATTATCAAATGTAAATTTTTAGCTAGAAACAAATGTTTGACAACCTGGAACAAAGCAGCCAAGACGTGATAAAAACCTTTGAGCTTCCCACCCTTAACCTGATGGGAAAGCGGTCTATAAAATCTCATCAAAGCAATTATTATCAGTTCATCATTCACACTTACTCAGGCTCTGCATGATCCTGAAGTTGGACGTTGAGAGTTTCAGGCAAAAGCAAACAGAACCCCCCAGCAACAATGGGAACAATGCCGTATATCAGCATGGGGGTGGTGTGTGGTAGACTTCCAGAAGTCTGATGAGTGGAGCGAGTATGCCTGCCACACGAGCACACATGAGGTTAAGACCTAAACCATTCTGCCTGCAACAACACACAATGAACTCAATATTATCCCACACTAACGCATGTGATTAAGGCCCACTTTAGAGTACAGCCCACAAATTCAACTGAAATCTATAAGGATAGATCCATCCATCCATCTGTTTTCTTCAGTTCCGGGTCAAGGCAGCAGCAAGCACAGTTAGTGCATAGACTTAAAAAAATGCAATGGACACTTTAATAAATGGATCACCATATCAAAATGGAAAAGCACTTTGGACTTTTGTTTTGTTGCTTAGCCAAGAACATGCACGCAACCTTGTCCACCAATTCACCCAGAGGGGCTTAGTGACCAACTTGGTTTGTTGTAAGTAGGTTCCTATACATGACCTTACCTTAAAATGGTTGGGTATAATTCGGGTGTGTAAACATAGGCTGTGCTGAATGAAGTAGTGGCAGCCATTTTCCCCAGAACGGCTGTGATTGTTATGACCACAGGAAGATCTGATGGATAAAACATGGAAATGAAAAGCATGATAAAATCAATACTTTTATCAGAATGTCCTCAGCTTATAAAAAAACATCTCTCAATTGTTTTTCCGTTCCTTTTGGGATAGCAAGGATCAGGAGGCAAGAAGCACCTCCAAAACAAAGGAAGCATGCGTAACACATCCTCCTTCCAAAGTGTTGGATTAATGCCAAAGCGGCCAGGTCGGCAGGAATTTCCACAAGACCAAAGGTGAACTGTGTGAGGTAGATATTCAGGCCAAATCCACCAACATAAAGGCTCAGTCCAAAGTACAGAAGACTAACTGCAAACCTAGTGCCAAAGTCGGAGAGATGCGTCATGGAGGTACAGCGTCATGAATAATTAAATCTAGTTAAAGACAACATACCAGGATAAGCCCGTTATCATGGTTCGTTTTCTCAAGTATGGTATTCAGAAGATGTCCAACATGTTTCTCTGTATGAATGTAACTTTGATATCCACCTGAATAAGTGAAACAACATGTTCATGTCATTATACATGTTTTATTGCTTTGGTTGAATCTAAAGTGTGTTTGATGCAGCTCACCTTGTCCATCAGATCATCTGGTACCTGACTCTGATTCATTCTGTACTAAATGTAAATACTACCCATTATACACTCTGATTCACTTTAAAACAAAAAGTATATTCATTTGAGTCATGCCATTCAAATCAAAAAGATCTCAAGGGAAGACAGAGGGGTTGATTAGTGATGAGATTCAGGACCAAGAGACTGACACAGCAGGACACAAGAGGGCAGCAGAGCGTCAGTCCCATGTGAATCTCCACCAACTAAACCATTCTTGTTTGATTTTTATTAAGATGGTATTTTGGGTTGTTCTTTGTTTTTTAGTTTCTTTTTGTCATTTCCCATCCTCATATTTCTCTTATCCCTGCATGAGTATATTTCCTTCTGATTCCTGGGTTAAGATTTTAGTGTTTCCTGTTATATTTTGTAGTTTTTTTTTTACCCTTGTGCATCATGTCTAGTGTTTCTTCCTGCCTTTGTGTGTTTCCCTCCACTTTTGATTGACCTCATTGTCTTCACCTGTGTCTGATTGACCCGGTGTGTATTTAGTCTCTGTGTTCTTCTCCTTCTGTGTCAGTTCATTATGTTCATTATGTCCCTGTGATTTTCTTCTTGTTTCTCTCCTTTTGGAGTTTTGATGGACTCAAACAAAGTAAGCTTTTGTTTTTGTCTTTTTGTTAAGTCAGTGTTTTCCTTTGGTCGTACATTTCGGTCTTTTTTTTTTTTTTTCAGTTTTATTGAACGTGACACTTACACACTATTAAATGAACCAGAATTTGTGACAGAAATACTCACAGTGTCTAATTATTGAAAATGACATACCAATTGTTTCCAGGAAGGCTAACTGTATGTGACTTGCTACTTAGCAATTGTTAGCATGCTAATTCTGTTCACAATAAAAAAACCATGAGAGTAAAAGAGCTTTTGGATCACCTGGAACAAAACAAGCTGAATTCAGTTCACGATATCTTTGAAGGGTTTTTAAATTGTTAGTTCCCCTCCATTACGTTCATTGCCTTGTTACTTTCACATGCTCAGACTGTGAAACAGGCAGCTTATTAAACAATACGAGTTTTTGGATCGCTCTCCACCTGCATATGGTGCAAATCTGTCAGAATTAAATGTTTTCTGAATTGGGACCAAGTCATTTTGTTGTACACAAACTGGTGAAATAAACACCATATGCTCATCAGGCAGTCAGAACAGTCGCCTGGGGCTCTGGTGCAATAAAGAGCAAGAGAGAAAACATCCTGTTTGTTTTGTTCTGCATGTTTCTATAAGTCCAGCAATACCTCCAAAGAGTCTGTGCATGAAGATACACACCTTTAAAAACATTCAAACACTAAATCTGACAAATGTAGATTGATGGTATGTACAGACAAAGTTTAATGTGTGGCATTGACTGATTTAAACCTGTAATTATGATAGTGTCCGAGTCAAGACCACTTACCCGAGACCAGAGTGCTCCGCGACCGAGACAAGACCAAGACCTTTAGGGATCGAGACCGAGTCAAGACCAAGACCTTTAGGGATCGAGACCGAGTGAAGATCAAGACCTTTAGGGATCGAGACCGAGTCAAGACCAAGACCTTTAGGGATCGAGACCGAGTGAAGATCAAGACCTTTAGGGATCGAGACCGAGTCAAGACCAAGACCTTTAGGGATCGAGACCGAGTGAAGATCAAGACCTTTAGGGATCGAGACCGAGTCAAGACCAAGACCTTTATGGATCGAGACCAAGTCAAGGCCGAGTCAAGACCAAACCCATAAATATCACTGAAAAATCATCATCTTGTGTCATTCATTTAGACCGTAACACCTGGAAGGTTGCAGTTGTAACCAAGGGATTAAAATCAAACAACATATGAAACAAAGTTTTCTGTTCTTTTAGAAAGAGGTGTTTTCCTTCTAATCACAGTAATGAATTGGACAAATTTCCTCTTAGTGGTGGTCTTGACCAGTCTTGATTTAAAATCCGTAGTCCGCCCATTTTGAGACAAGATTGAGTACAAATTGTTTTATATCAATTCTGAGACGAGACCGAGACTGATTTTGAGTCCTACAACACTAAACTATGCAGCTGTTTGCTCCTTTAAGATCTGACGGGCCAGCAGCCCTCTGCTCTCTGCAGCCTCTCCTCAAACTGAAGTGTTTTAAGTATTGCTCTTTTTTTTCTGTGTTGCTGAATGATCATATTTTCATCCTCTGCAGCTTTTGTTACTAATCCCTTCTAATTGAATTTGACATGCAATTCCTCCTGCTGTCTTTTAATCCGTGACTAGAAATATCCGCACTTAGAATCCAATTTCTACCTAATTCTCTTTTCCCAACCAGTCAGTCAAATCAGAATTATTCATTCCTATTCCTACTGACGTCTACTGGACCGCTGTTGCCTACTCAGATATAATTACAGCGCTGCCGCTGCTGATGATGAATTCTATTTCAGAGATGTGCAGCCAGGACGCCCATGACATTTCTCCTGTCATATAGACTTGTCCTCTCATGCATTCTGCTGATTGAGTTGCATTTTTAAAAAGATGCTTCATCACTGAATGAAACATTTAAAAAGACCGGTGACTTGCTATTCACGCCACCCAGACATTACTTTTCAAAGTTGATGAATTGCAACATAGACTGAACTGACATTTGTGACAAATACCAAAAACTGTAAAACAAACAGCCTCAGGACTTCAATCCGACTGGCAGCATAATTAAGACCGAATCTTCTCCAAAGGTTTGGGCCTCTGAGTCACACTCCGTGCTTCTGGTTACTTTTGTGTGTACTTATCAATGCTACTATTTCATTATTTTTATGATAAATTATCCAACAATATAGTTTTTTTGATTCAAGACTTTTGATTGGATGCAGAATATTTTCATGTTGCCACATTCACAGAAGGAAAGGATCTGAATCATTCCTCCACCACTGATCTTTTTTTTTTTTTAATGAAATCTGCGGAGGCTAAAAGCTTTCTCTTATGACACACTCCAGCTATACAAAACCGTCTTCCTGTAAGTAGCCCTGTTTGTGTGTTATCTGAGTGCCTCTTAGCGACTGGCAGATGGCAGCATTGTGGCAGGATAAGGATCTTTGTGAAAGGGATGCAGAAGACTCAAGTGTGAAATGCATTCTGGGTCTACATCTCATTCCTCTCATGCAGCTCATTTGTCCAGAATTTGTGGGCTGCCCTTTTTGTGCACAGTCACATGTAGCAGAGCACAGCGGGGGGGGGGGGGGGGACTTTAAACTCACGCTGTGTTGGTTGGAGGTGCTGAGTGAAGCGCCTCCTTCAGGTACACGATGAAGATTAAACACCAGCTGCTTTGATGACTTCACTCAGCAGTCAATCACTGGATTCAGTTTGGAGGGAAATTAGCAGGTGCGGCTCACCGCTACAGCTTGAGTACGGTTTGTGAAAGCAGATTGCATGCATTCAAATTGCAACGTGAATGTTACCCGCTGTCAATATGTTCTAATTAACAAGCTGTGAAAAAGCACCAGGATGGGGAAAAAAGCGATTATGAAGATGAATGATGAGAAAACACAAGTTTTTGGGGTTTTTTTCCGTCCCACATCCTCATTTCAATACCAGGCGGAAAGAATATTCAACAGCTTTCCTGTGGCTGAATATTAACATATGTCTGGGAATGTGAAGTATTCCATCAAGAAATGTGCCAGTATGTGTCTTTGCTATGACAGAGCATAACATTTTTTTAACATAACATAACATTTTTGGGGCTCTGCATTAAAAAAAACACCAGGCAGGGATTCATTGTATAACCAGGCTTTGTATTCAGCACAATGCGCCCCCTGTGTGCTTATGAAATAATGGGATTTTTTTCCCCCAGTCAGGATATGTGCGATGTATATGAATGATTCCTCCCACATGCTCTTGCTCAATTGAAACAGGAACACAGGGCCAAATATTTGAGGTCAAAGACAATCAGTGAGGTGTGCAAAAGGGAATGGATTTAATCACATCTTTTGGTTTAATATGTGCCCGACTGTGTTTGAAAAAGATTAGTTCAAATCTTTGATAAATGGTTGTTCTGGTCACATCAGCCCCGGCAGCCTCAATGAAACATTTATCTTATTTAAGTCAGTTAAATGGCTGCTTTGGTTTGACCTCATGAAGGTGAATTTAATCACAAGAGTGTTTTTTTTTTTTCTAAAATGAGAGGCGGACTGAAAATGAATTTCTTGTGAGGTTTGTAACGGTCATGTTTGATATTTGTTTAGTTATGTTTTTAATGTCTCCTCGGTTGTTTGGCTGTGTGGGGGTACTGTAGGAACATGGGGGGTCCCGGGGGCTGCTGCTTAGAGCCATCCTGTCCCTGTATGACCAAAGTGGGAGCTGTGTCCACATCCTCAATAAAGTCAGACACGTTCCTGATGCATGTTAGCCTCGAGCAAGATCGTCCAGAATACTTATGATTTTTTTTTTAACCTGTATCTGCATTACAGTGATGGTCTGCTCTTTTATCAAACTTTATGGAACTTTATGTGATTTAAAAAAAAATAAACCTGTTGGGGGGGAGTCTGCCACAGTTAATGACTCCCCTCTCGATAAGATCAGCTCATTGCAGACATGAGTCGTCACAATCCTCTTTCGCCTTCCTTTCATATCAGATAAAATAAGATAATCCTTTATTTATCCCACAACAGGGAAATGTACAGTGTTACAGCAGCAAAGAGCAAAGACTGCAAACAAAAAGTGAACACAGTACAATTTAAATAAAAAAGAAAAATTAAAAATGTACAAAAAATAGATTCATACCAGAATATAGATTTAAAAAAATAGATCAGCTGAGCTGCAGTTTTGACTAAATGTAGTCAGAATATTCAGTGTATATTCTTATGTACCAACTTACCAAACTGTAAATTCCCATTCCAGGTATTTTCATCTCCTTACACTCTTATTAAAAGTGACTGAGTGTGGGTTTTGTATTTACAACAATAACAGGTCCATTTCCACCTTGTTGCCTTCTACATTAAAAATGACCTCTTCTTAATGTGTGCCAGCTTCACTCTCTACATTCTCACTATGCTGCCAATAGAAGTCAATAAGGACCCTGATCTCTCCTTGTTCCATCGGTCCCTCGTCCCCTCATGGAGCTGAGGAGCTCGCCTCTTCTCTCAATGTTAATTTCATCTAAACTACATGAGCTCGTGTACCGCTTGCAGCTAGTCTGTTTTAAAGGCCCGTCTTTATTGATTTCTGTGAAATGAAATTATGTCTCACTGTAAAGGAGAGCTACGGCCCGCTGGACACATCCTCTCAGCGCAGTTCATAATCCTAAACTAGGATCATATCTCCCTTGTTATGTGTTTAATCCAACATCTTGTAATTCATCTGAAAGTATTAAATCTTGTTGATTCTTCAGTTGAAGTTTTGTTTTTGTAGGTGGCTTTAAAAGTCCTCTATGTTCTAGTCTTGGTCTCAGATTGGTGTGTTCTTCCATTATGAAGACACCTGAACTCCCATAAACCAGAGTGAAGGTGGAGTTATTGCTCCTAACATGATTTCCTTAGATAGCCTGGGGAGTGAACAAAAAGAGTCCAATGACTTCTTCTGACGTTTGTTAATAAGTAGCAAAGGTCAATAATCATGACTAACTCAGCGCCAGGCGAGCCTACACAGCAACCACGATGGAGGAGATGGAAAGGGGGGGGGGGGGGTACCTCAGATGATACCTCTCCTTTATGGCCTAAAATCATGTGTTTTAACTAGAGCTTAACAAAAGATTTCAAAGTTGAAGAACACAATAGTGAATAATTTACTGCTCCCTTTGGTTCCAGTTTTTATGCTAAGCTAAGCTAATTTGTTTGTTTTCACTGTAGTATCACCTCGTGCTAAACATAAAGCGACTTAGCATTTTTCCCAAAATTTGAAACCATTCCTTAAACCTTTTTAGAAAGTACTGTAAGTACAAATCTGTTTTGCAGAATTGCCTCTTGTTAAACCCATTTCTGAAAGTTTAAACGGCCAACATGTTGGTGGTTTGTGACACATATTCCCTCCTTCCTGGTCTGTACTGGCCTGGCTCAAACATACACGCACTGACAAAGTGCAGTATTGAGTAACATTTATTACCTTTTACAACATGCTAACAGCTCAAACACAGGTACCTGATCGATGGTCGTGAAGAGACGCTCTGCCTCGGCTGAAACTCTTCCTTAAATACTGAAAACAAAATGCTTCCCTCGGAGGAGAAAAGAAGGTGTTAAGGTACAAAACGCTAACCAGGCTGATGACGTTTGCTGTGGGCTCGGTGGGGCTTCTGTCGGCCTTCCTGCTGGTGTTCACGCCTGTGTCGGCTGGGGCCTGTTCACCTGGGGAGTTTACCTGCTCTCAGGGATTCTGTGAGTGTGACTTCACAGACAACTGTGGAGACGGCAGCGACGAGAAGGACTGTGAGTGAAACAAACATTTGCAGGATTATTTTCTCAACAGAGAGAATGTAACGACAGTAAGAATTAAGATGATATAAATCATAAAGTAATGCAGGTGAATGTTCATGTGAAATGTTTTCCCAAGCCTCATAAGAATTGTAAATGGGAAGTGAATGGAGAGTTAACCACACAGGGTGTAGCAAAGCTCCTGTGAGTCGTTTTCAGCTCATATTAAAACAGACTAAATTAGTAGTGACGCCTCTTTATCACCAACAAAAGCAAAAATAACCATCAGGGAACAGATCGTTTCTTTATTCTTATTTTATATACCCGTCACCCCTGGCATGGGGTAGATGTCAGATACAGCGACTAACAGCATGCTACTTTAAATACAAAGAGTTAAGGTGATTTAAACGTTTGATATTTAAAGGTAAATTGAGCAACTTTTTGATCCAATAGATGTCGCCCTTGAGCACCAGAATGAAACCAAAACAAACTTCTGTTTGGTGACACTTCTGCTATTCTGAAGCCTCCGCTCTCCTCCAGAGACACACCTCCAACCAACCTCTAAAGTCCTGTTCACACAAATGAGTTATCAGTTAGAAAGCACCATTAAACTCAAGTGGCAGACAAAACTATTCTTGGCTAGAGCTGCGATTGCCCGTGGCCTGCATTGTTGTGTTAGCATGCTAATGTTAGCGCTCTTTAGTCAGCTCGTAGCTTATAGCTTCAGCTTAGCACATCATATTGACAGAATGAGCGTGATCTAAAAACTCTTACTAACATCCAAATAATCAGTGAGTATGTTCTTCTTCTTCTCTCTAGTTCTTGACTAAAACAGCTTTTATACACAAGGGGAGGAGCCGGCCGTCCCGTCCATGTAAACACGGCTCTGACAACAACACAGCCAGCGGGACTCGAGCTTCTCCCTCATTGTAGACAGTCAGGACTCAGAGACACATTTACACAGGACAGACTTTATGATTTATTTATGTGGAACATGTTGTTTAAGATAAATCAGGATGATGTGTTTTCCACCATAAAACAATACTGACACACAAACAGGACAAGATGAGCAAAGAGATGTCGAGCTTTGAGCATCTTTTCATTCACAAATGACACTGTACTCTGTCTGTGCCCGTTTCTTTACATGATTATAGATGTTATGTGTGTCTATCTGTTTGTTATTACAAGTGCAAAGTGTTTTCTGTTGTTGGAAGGTTCAGGATATAAGAGATGTGACTTTGAGGAGGGATTCTGTGACCTGATCCAGAGCTCAGAGAATGGACCAGGATGGACCAGAACCACTGAGGTGCAGGGACTCCAACATGACCACACCAACAACACATCGGGTAGGACACTCTGTACATTTTGGATTCACAGCCGCCCCCTTATCTGTTTTATTCATACTTTTTTGATGCATGTAACACGACACTTTTCTCCCTTCTCTCTCCTTCAGCACATTTCTTGTCTCTTGTACCTGCCAGAGGAAACAGAACCACAGCAGACCTGATCAGTCCTGTCTTCCTGCCCAGTCAGACTTGTCAGGTAACAAAACCCTCGAGATAAAAAAAAATCAACAACCACTCCACAACAAAGGGTGACATCTTTCTTCCCTTCTTGCCCCCACAGCTGAGTTTCTACTATTATGTAGAAGCACAAAACGCAGATCTTCAGGTCCTGGTTCAGACTCAAACTCCGGGTCAGAGCACAGAGGTGTGGAAAGTCTCCTCAGGCCATAAGTTGGAAACATGGCTGCAGGCAGTGACAAAGTTTTCCAGCAATCACCTTTTTCAGGTCTGTAACCCTCACATGTTACTATCAAAGATGTTGCAGTTTGATATGTAACCTTTATGTTTGGGATATTTTTGGCGGTATATGAGGCTATGCTACATGCTACATGCTACATAACCAAACACTAGATCTACTGCCATGTACTGAAACTCCAGGACTCAGAAGGCGTGCATCTCGCTCTTTAACCCGAACACACACTTTGAACAAACACAAGCTAGTTAGCAAGCTAAATCAAAAGAAATGTGTCCGGGCAAATGGAGGTCCGCAGCTGTTTCCATCCCCCATTTTTGTCGTTCATGTCATTAGCTTTAGGGTTATGGTTAGCAGATAAACCTAGCATAACCGCTGTCGCCATGGTGCTATCAGCTGCTGTCTGACAGATTGTGCAGGTGCAATCGGGCAAAAAAAGCCCTGAAGTTGGGTAGTCGACTCTTGGCTGCTCTGTTCTTGTATGACCCAAAATCCAAAAATGCCAGAAATGAAATAGAACCGTCTGGCAAGCAGATGATTGTGTGATTGGGAATTCAAAATTGCATCGAAATTGGCCTCATTGCACAGTGTATCCCCTGATTTAGAGGCTGCTGGAGACCAAGAACAGAGCTTAAAGGAGAGGAAAGTGGATATGCAACTTAAATTACTACCTATTGGCTGGAAAAGGAGAAGTTTTCTAAAAAGTGAGCTTGGTCACCTTGAAATATTTGCATATGTTAATGTTGTCACAGCGAATATTTACTGCCTCAATGTGGCCAAGAAATCAAAACATTTTACAAGGATGTATATTATTACATCAGATAACTGGCCCATGCTTCACCATGTGAAACTTATCACATTGAGGAGCATGTTATGCAAAAGTATGGTGAGCAAAAACAATACATTTGTAGACATTTCTTAATTCCATGTTGGGGTATGCCATGTAAAACTCATGAATAAGTTTGAACACAGAATAAGTTTTCAGTTAAAACTGATCAAGTCATCACAAAAAGAAATGTGCTGCACAGCAGGGGCCGTTTACACGCAGTGAGGGGGGTACTGACCCAACTGGACCCCTCTAAGGCCATCTGGAGTCTTGTGAAACCTGCTGCTCATGTCCTTCCTATATCCTCAGACAGTGTCAGCGTGTCACCCCTTCTCTTCTTCTCTGCCTTTACCATCTGTCACCGACTGCAGCCAGCTCACTTTTATAAACATGTCTGAAGCAGAGCCCGGGCTAAAGAGAGGTCAATTCTTTGCCAACAAACACTTTCTCCTCCATTAATCTCCTTCTTTTAGAGCCAGTTGAGTTAAATGTTTTGTTGTTTTCAGCAGAAGCATTTCAGGTTGTTTCAAATTTGTTTAACTATCTGGATATTTTCACCTGAAGCAGCTTTCATGGACAGTTTCATGCAAAATATGTTATGCATGTAAAAACATTTGGCCTAACAAGACTTTTGCACAAGAAGCCTATATTTAAAATCCCTGGCAAGGTCCTCTACACAACAATTGACCCCTTTCCCCCCAACAGACTGGTTTGGACTCCCCCAACTCTGAATATCCTCAAAACAGTACAACTTGAAAACTATCCTATTGTCATTTCAAGCATGTTAATGTTAGCATTTAGCCAAAATACAGTGAAATAAAGATTGAATAGCTGCAGACTCTGATCAGTATTACACACAGCAGGTTGTACATACAAACACATTGTGATCAAAGGGAACACATAGAGGTGACTGAGGGAATATTTAAATGTTTGTTGTGTGTCTACTAGGTGGTAATCCGAGGGCAACTTCCCGCAGACAGCGAAGCCTCCGGGGTCCTGGCCGTCGATGACCTATCCTTCAGTCTGGGCTGCCTGACTCTGCCTGGTACCGCTACCATTAATAACACCTCACTTAACAGACACGACAAGTTCAGACCTTGACATTTTGAAATATCACCACACATAAACAGACCACCACAAACTTGTTTTGAATACTGATAGAAGGGGAAGACAGTAAAACACGCAGGATGGGCTTCATAACAGAATAACAGAATCATTAAAATAGTGCTTACAACACATTTCCCTGCACTGAATATGGAGCACAGTCAGGGCCACACGCTATGGGGTTTATTTATGTCTGCTATAGAGCGCTGCCTCCACCTCTGTGATAAATGTGAAACAGCTGAATATCTTAGCTGGGAGCATTTGATAATGCACTGTCCACCTGGAGTTTGGTGACTTACAGGTATTTCAGCAGCAAGAACAAACTATGGCATCTTTACAGCAGCCATTATTCATCCAATATTAGACGATGCTGCTGCTTTCTGCCTGTAAAACAAGAGTTGCATATTCTTTATTGGTTGTCTCAATTGGGCTGCAACCTGTGGCCTTCAGCTTGTTTAGTTCTCTCGTCTGGTGGGGCATCAAGGCCAGAGAGTTTTAATGCACATTTTTGCAGTAATAGTCAGCTTGCATTGAAAAGAAGAGTTGTTTTTTAAAAACAAATACATAAATGAAAACATCTTAAATTTTTCATACTTCCACATTCATTTATTGGATTTTTTTGATAGGCTGCATACCTCACTTCATTCATTTATTTTGATAACATTTTACAATTAAGAGCTACATTAAAGGTGCAAAATCTCCTTTTTACCAAGAAAAAATACGCCTCAGAGCTCCTCAAAACATGTCTGCAAAGTCTTGTGCTCAAAAGTCCACTCATGTCTATAAACCCCTCTATTTCAGCCCTGCTCAGAACAGGCTGTTTCTGTGTCTGTACCTTTAAATATGTAAATGAGCTGTGTCTGACCACGCCCCCTCTCTGGAAGGGCTTGGGTGTACTCGGTGCTTTCTCGCTCCATGTCCTATTGTTTACGGTGAGAAGGCAGACTCAGAGGGCAGAACAAACACCTAGCTGTGGGAGTGTCACCCACCTGGGGGAGGGGCTACTGCCCTTTGTGATGTCATGAAGGGAAAATCTCCAAACGGCCTGTTTGAGCACACATTTTCTGAAAAGTGGAGCAGGCAGAAGATGGAGAGGATGGACTTTTCTCATCATTGGGGGGTTTGTAGACGGACTAGAGACACATGTTAGAGTTAGCAAGCGGGGCAAAGCATGTTTTGACCTTTAAGACACCTTGATTGTTTTTTCTTTCACAGGCTTTAAAAAGCTTTCAACAATTAACTTAAGTTATGAATCATTTCCTTTTTCTGGTGAACGCTCTACATGAGGGGCTCACATGATTTTGTTTTGATATGTGGTGCAAATCTTTTATTGCTAACTACATATGATCTTTTTTAAAGAGTTATTTATGTCCCTTGTCCTGTAGTAATTATCCTATCTACTTCATAACCAATACATTTGCTGCCCTGAATTATAGATACACAACATCACTGAATCTAGATTAAGTGAACTGTCAGGGATGATAGCATTATGAGCATTACAATGTTCCACATAAATAAATGTGAATGTATAAAACATTGTAAGTTGTTTTTAAAGGCTTAGTCTTCCAATCCTTATTATCATAAATCATACTCTTTGCATGCATCAGTGTCTCCCAGGGTGTTTCATGTCTCTACATGTTATGGGGATGAGCTAGCTATCTTATAATTTATCATGGTTATCCTATCTTTTATTCAAAGCTGATATTCCCAGTCGTCTTGCTGGATGGATCTTTTACAGCCTGCTATCAACAATGAAGCTTTACTCACTTTATTATGTATTTTATAATGAGTTAGCCCGGGAGACACTGATGAAATGTAATATCCCTGTACTGCAATGACAACCACGTTTCCTAGAAATTATGCATATACATTGCTAATTTGTTTTCTCCATTAGGCTATTTTGTGTTCAGGATCCCGATCGCTTGCTGAGTTATATTAATTTAATTGCTTAATTTCATGGCCCTCTTGGTGTACATTACATCACACAGCTCAAGAAGTCATTGACTCTAAGTATTGCCTTTTAAATGAGGAATCATCTGATATCTTGTGTTACAAATAATGTTCTAGGTTCTGATGTGAATTGCATTGATTGCGTGGATAAACTTTGTAGCTTTGTGAGGAAGCTTGATAAACTGTTTTAATCCACATTACATCGACATTAGGTGAAAATATGAGTTCATGTTGTCATTGAATAAACAGAATTCAGAATCCAATACAGCTCAGAGTCTACACTCTGTTAGCAACAAGGAAAAACACAGATGAGCATGCAAAGATAATATACCAGGTTAGCAACAAGAATTGAATTGTAGCAGAGAATCACTCCCATGATTCCCCGCCAGCCTCGACCTCATCTTTTGTTATTGTTTTGATTGAGAGCCCCCTGGTGGTGGAATTAAAATACTGTGTGTTTATAACAAGAACCAGATTATGTTGCATTTTAAAGCTAGCTTCTTCAGAAAGATAACTCTTTAAAAAAGTATAAAATATCTGAGTAGTCATCTTGAACGGCCAGTCAAAAGCCTTTTGAACATCTTACATATTTCACTTGTGTTTCCAATACTCCTCAAAAGCAGTTCATTAAAGAGATGGTTCTTGGATGCACTATTGATCCAAATACCTGGACTGAAGTCATTACTTTGCAGGGTCTAATCTCCCATAACACAGTTAATGTACTTTCTGAAACGCAGCTGCGCTCTCCTTTATTAATCCACATGATCTCCCATAAGTGCTCTTTATTGATAAAATCCCACATGAACTTAGCGATAGCAACCCGAACCTGCTTGTTCCACATCTGATGATAAAGTGCTTGGATATGAAAGTGACTGAATTTTGATTTTTTTTTTGTTTTTCATTAGCAGAGAGCAGCGTACCCCCTCCTCCCGTTTGTCCTCCACCGTGGTTTGCTTGTGGTGGCGGGCAGTGTATCGAGGAGAGCAAAGTGTGTGACTTCACCCCTCACTGTCCCCATGGAGAGGACGAGGACAGCTGCCGTAAGAAACTTGTTACCAAAACACGTGCAAACAATCCACACCTCAGTTGGACTCTCCACAAAAGCTGGTGATTTATATTTACCAGTACGATGATAATTGTTGAGAACACATTTAAATACAAAACTTTATTTAGATTGTTTGACACAATAGCAGCAGCGCAGTAAAGCTGACTCACACGGTGCGATTTTTCCCCGATTGTATAAAAGTCGGGGTGTCATGTCAGCTCAGGTCATGTCATGACCAGACCTTGAGATTGACGTGCTCACACTGTAAGAGTGAAATCGGGACGGAGCGTTGACAATTGTTAATAAAGTTTCATTTGAAAAAAACAAAGGACAACAGTTGGTGAAAGAGAAGGAAGTGGAAGTTGTTGTAGGATAGAAGAAAGTTGATACAACCGTAGATATATGGAGACAAGTTTCAGAAAAGTGCTGCACTGATGATCTGTACAGAAAAAAAAAAAAAAAAAAACGCCGGGTGGTGGGTTCAATCTCCATCAGAGTTTACACGGCTGTCTTCAAACTCTAGATGTTCAAATTTTTGAATTTTTAGCCCTGTTTTCTAGGGCCAATCAGTCTTGGTCAGCGTAGTCAAGAGACAAAAATTGACCTAGAAATGTAAATCTCCTGCTTGTGTAGCGATGATGGCACTGCCTGCACCACGTATCAATGTGTTCAAGTAGCCGCAGCCTCACTCTGATGCTTTTCTTCATAAATATGTCCGACTTTTTCAAATGCATCCTTTTCTATAACGTCCTCTGTAGTCATATTGGTGTTTGAAGTTTGAAAATGGTAGTTCACATACAAGCTAGGGCAGAGAGGAACGATCCCTTTAAGACATCAAATTAAAATCCAATGTGAACAAGAAACATTCTGTCAGCTAAAGGATATCTTGTGTTGTGATTGAAAGCCCCCCTGTTGTCAAACTGCTTTCCCGAGGTCAGAAATAAACTCTCAGTCTAAACATTATTCATTGGTTCTTTATGTCTCTGCTCGTTCAGCCTCCAAGTGCGACTTCGAGGGCGGTTCCTGCGGCTGGTACGAGCTGACCCCCGGTGATGGCTTTGACTGGGTCAGGGGCTCCTCTGCAGAGGTTCCTCCAGACTACTACAGCCGCCCACCACCGCTGGACCACTCTGACAACAGCACAGAGGGTAAAGAGACACACACACACACACACACACACACACACACACACACACACACACACACACACACACACACACACACACACACACACACACACACACACACACCTCCTGTGTTCAAGAACTGCTGCTGTTGCCGTCACCAGACGATGGTATGAGCAGTGAACTGTGACAAACTGATAAGATCATTTCTAGGGGAGCTGGTCAGAAATAAAAGGCAAAATGTAAAATGTATTATCAATACATCAGATCAAAGGTTGGTGTGTTTATTCAGAGATAAGCTCTTCATGGAGAAATGATTTCTCAGCCATCTGAATAATAGAAAGGACCCTGACGTATGCTGGACCCTTTCTGAATGTGAATAGCACATTATTCCCCGACATACACAAAAGTAAGATCGCACTGACACACCATTCTCCAAGATGTCTGCACCACAACATGGCACTTCATATCATACCTTATTACATCTGTATGCTCTCCCTTTCATTCTCTTCTACCCTTTAGAATCGGCTACATTAAAGCCCGTATGTAACATGGGATTGTGGTAGGTGAACTCGATAGCATTGTGCGTTTTTTTCCAGCGACACCATCTGTTGTTCTGTTGTGTACATTGTGTGAAACATGCTGAGAAAAGACGCTCTGTTAGGTTCAGATTTGGAGACATGTGCAGACGGTGAAGTGAAGTCTCTCTGTTCCAGCAACCTTCAAGCTTTTTGTGAAAATGACTTGTTTGTCCTGCTGGGAGCATCTGTTTGAAGATGTAGAAAATATGACTGCCCTCCATCCAAAAGACATTGCATAGGTATTGTAGCAGTGCTCAAAAACATGCTTTTTTGGCAGTTTGGCAGCAAATAGGCGCCAGGAAAAACAACTCAATCACAATACCACCTCATACTGTGCAGATCCGGCAGAACGGCTTTGTGGATGAGCTTCTAATTATATTTCCTCTAAACTGCCATATGAAGCCAGTAAAGTCTCTGCACTGCTTTAAAGTGAGAAATGCTTCTTTCTGTCTTTGTCTTTGTCTTATCTTTGTATTGTCTTTTTTCATGCATTCAAAATATAAGTGTCTTTTTGGTCTTTGTATCAAATGCCATGATGCAACAGAAATAAATGCAAGCTTTAACGGGAAGTAAAATCATGCATTTGTGTGAATTCATGTATTAAAGTCTCATTTTTTAAGTCTAGAACATTAATGCAGTGAACTATTTGAGTTAATATAGCGAGGGCGGGAAAGGAGCCACAGGAGGGGTCTGAACCTAGGCCACCGCCTGGAGGAGAATAGCCTCCTCACACGGGGTGAGCTCACCAACCAACACGCTACCAACGCCCCCTTATTATACGCTTTAATGAAAGATTTAATGGCAGGAAATTAGCATTAGCCATGGTCTAATTTCTGGTCAATTAGCAATGATTGAATATAGAGATTAAACATTGATCTTTCAGTTGCTTGTACATGATGTGATTTTTAAAACAGACTTAAGTCCCCGTGAACTATAGGACTACAAGTTGTACTTTTACAAAGTCGTAATAACTTCTTGTAAAATAATCTAAACAGGAGGGCATTACAAACTTTTATATACATATATATATAGTGTGTAGTTTTTCAGCCTTGAAACTTTAAACCCATTTTGCACAACTGTGTTTATAATGAGATGCATCTTCATGTTAAATGTTAATTAGTGGAACTGCAGCATGAGTTGATTTAAATGAATTTTTCCGCCCGGCTGTTCTTCTCTGACCTGTGTCATCATCAAAAAAAAACACTGTTGGCATGGCGACCGCAGTCGACAGGAAATGTTTTATTCATCCAGTGCTTCTTAATATACTCTCTGTCATTGCCCTGCACAAAAAAAATCCCAACAGGAGAGTTATTGAAATTGACCCATCTGGCAAGAACAACAATGAGCAAAGCCATTTAGCCTAACAGTGAATGAACCTCTGCTCTGTTTGTCTGAGCTCTTGTTAAAAGCTGATGCACTGCAGAACTATTTGGTTGCTTGAATGTGGCTGTGTGTAGTTAAGAAGGTGTTGCATTTTGTTTAAATATTCTTCTCTTGCCGTCTGCAGGGCACTTCATGTTTATAATGAAGAACAGCAGCAGTCTCTATCCGAGGGCAGTTCTTCGAGGACCCTGGTTCAAAGAGTCGGCCTCTGGGTGCACCATGACCTTCTGGTGAGAGTCACATTGTTGACCAGAGAAAAGCTGCATGATCTGCTATCACATCCCAGAATCTGTAGACTGACCTATTTCAGACTTTTTTCCATTTGCTGTCTCCTCTTCCTCTGTGATTCTCTCGACTCCCCCACCTGTCTCAGCTCTGCTTCCTCAGCATCTCTCTCACTTCAAAAAAACACAAAGAGAAGATACAGTCCTGAATTTGTCATTTTCTGACAGTTTTATGGCCCGTTAAGTTTATGCCAAATGACAGATTTTATTCCCCCGTTGTGTGATTTGACGGGTTGTACTCCTGGCAGAAGAGTTGGTGAGGTTTATACATTTTAGATTTTTTCTGCAGATTAATCAAAAGCCTCATGTTTTATGTTCAGCTACCATACAGGGGGAAGTGATTTACAGCATCAGGTGTGATGCAGATGTGATGTAATATAATCTTAATGTATAATCAGAATGCACTGTACCATGCTACATACTGTGTGTTTTTAATGATAATAATAACTCTTTCCACAAGTGGAAGTGTACATACCTAGTATTATTCTATTGTATTTCTTCTCCCTTTATTTAACTGATGTACATATGTTTGATTTTTAACTTCTTGTTATTTTTGATAATTATATTCCTGTTTCTTGAGCAAAAAAAAAAATCCCCTATGGCAGATCAATGAAGTTTTTCTATATCTTTGAATATTGTCAGTAAGAATTGAATCTTATGGGGTGCTGATGGCCTAGTGGTTGGTATGCACGCAGAGTGCAGAGGTTGTGATCCTCCAGGTGGGCAGCCCGGGTTTGAATCCGACCTCTGGTTCCATTCCCCTCTCTCTCTCTCCCCATTTTCTGACTCTCTCCACTCTCCTATCTCCAAGTAAAAGTCAAAAAGTAATCTTCCATCTCTCCTTCAGGCATTATAACTCCGGCACATCCGTCGGAGCTGCAGACATGTACCTCCGCATCGATGGAGCCCCAAACAACACTGTCATATGGAGAACTCTGTACGACCAGGGACCCCGTTGGCACCAGGTCACCGTGCAGCTGGGACGCATCATCTGGCCCTTCCAGATCGCTCTGGCTAAGATCAGCCTGGCCGTGTTCGACGGCTTCTCCGCCTTGGATGACGTCACCTTCAACAACTGCTCCATGCCTCCAGCTGTGGCAGAGTGCCCGGCGCACACACACTTCCACTGCACACAGAGCAAGGCGTGTGTGGAGCAGCTGCAGCTCTGTGACCTTGAAGATAACTGCGGGGACGGATCTGATGAGGAGGGGTGCTGTGAGTGTCTCTTTTTTGGTTTTTCATGTTCAGCAGTTGTTACAAATCAGAGAAGAGTTTACTAAAGGTTTCAGGCAGAGCTAAATTCAGTCCGTTCCAGAGGTCAATCAGGATAACCAGGCAGAAGTACGGAGGCATCAGGCAAAAACTCAAAACAGGAAAACAGGCAAAGGTGAAAAATTCAAAAGGCAGTGTACACACAATCAGGCAAGAGCACAAACTATGATCTGGCAACAACAAAGGCTAACTGACTGGTTTAAGTACTGAGGGGTAAACGAGCAAACAACCAACAGGTGTGTGGCAGAATGAGCAGGCTGGCCACTGATTGGCTGAGAGACAATACAGGGAGAGTGCCAATGGGTGGAGACGGTGTACTGGAGGGAAAAGCTGGCAGGCGCTGCAGGAGGAGCAGGAAGCTCGAGTAGTGACTGAAACACTCAGCCTGTAGTTCACTTAAAGAATTGATTTAAAGTCTTTATATGTGATGTTTTGATCCAGCAGATGTCGCCCTTGAGCACCAGCATGAAACCAAAACAACTCGCGCTGCATTGTTGTGTTAGCATGCTAATGCTAGCGATCTTTATTATGCTGGTATCTTCACACTGCATGTAAATTTACCTGAAATGAGCGTGATCTAGAAACACAGTTAAGCAGTGAGTACAGTATGTTATTCTTCTTTTCTCTAGTCCCTCAATTAAACAACTTTTATACACGAGGGGAGGAGTCAGCCGGCCGTCCGGGCGATGTAAACAAAGTGAAGATAGGACTCTGAAAACTCTGAAAACATCACAGACAGTGGGACTCGGGTGTTACACCCATTGTAGACAGTCATGACTCACAGAGTTATTTTCAGAGGAGATACTTGATTTCTATATTAAAGTGTGAAAGATCACAAATAAAGACTTTAAACATGTTAAAATAATCACCTACAAATTAAACGTTGGTATCTGATTCAGGTGAAGCTGTCAGTTTAGTCACACAGATGTTTTCCTGTGTTCTCTGGCAGCTCCAGAACTGCAGTGCAGCTTTGAGCACGGTCTGTGCAGCTGGAAACAAGAACAGAGCGGAGGAGACGTGTTCGACTGGACCCACATCCAAGGCCCGACGCCGTCCATCAACACGGGGCCCTGGAGGGACCACACGCTCGGCACCAGGTACGGCCACTACCTGTACATCGAGTCCTCGGCCCCCCAGGAGTTCAAGGATACGGCGGTGCTGCTGAGCAGAGTCTTCCAGCCCACCAACCAGCACGCCGAGGGCCAGTCCGGGTCCCGCCAACACTGCGTCTTCCGCTTCCACTACCACATGTTCGGCTCGCAGGTTTTCTGCCTGGCTGTTTACCTCAGGACCACCGCCACAGGGCGGGGCCACATGCTGTGGGTACGATATGGAGACCAAGGAAACCTGTGGCACCGGAAGACTCTCTACCTCAACAGCGGTCGCCCATTTCAGGTAACTGAGTACAATTAATGTGAACAAGTTCTTTTAGAGTTCTCAGACTAACAGTGGTATTAACAAGTGGTACAACAGCCTGATCGAGGATAACCTGCAGACTCGAGCAAAAGATAAACAACGTTCCATGTCAGGCGATAATGAAACGCTTGTCAAGTTAAGTGTTGAAACAGAGCGCAGTGTCATTGTGATAAAGATCAATTGAATAACTTCACGACTTGACTTGAACACTTCTGTTGTCATTTCTCATGAGTGGGTGTTACCTGACGGCCAGTAAAATACTTTCACTCCATTATGGTGTCAAATTCACTGAAAGGATAAAAAATACTTTTGAATTCAATTCAGACTCAGTGTTAGGGAGCAAACAGTAAGACATGAGGCACAGGAGTAACTGTAAAGGAAAGGTGGGGTTTTTATTTTACCCAAAAATAGAATAATAATCATAAGAGCTAGGCTTATAAAAGAGGTCAACTTCATATAACTTTAAATCAACAAGATGAACAATAAGGTATGAACTCAAAAAACACACTGAGACAAAAGGGGAACTGAAATATAGACGTTTGGCCAAACCAACTCCAACACAAGTGGACAAGCTAAACAAAATGGACGCCAAATTAACTCAATACAAGGAAAAACCAACTAAACCTAAATCCCCCCCCATGACATCACCACACATGGTTTGCTCCAATAAACTGGCTTCATGTAAAGATCTTGGTCTGCCCATGGCCACGCCTTTTACCCAGATCAGGAAGTTCCCGCCCCCAACATCCAGCTAACTAAAAAGTGCGCTCTAAATCTAAACAATGCAAAAATAAACTCATAACAAATCAAAGTTAAGTGTGTAGGCTGTTTGTATGGTTGACTGAAACGTGCTGGGGTGAGTGATATTACCCCTGTGTGTCTCTGGACACTCAGGCTGATCAGTTTGCTCCCACAGTGAGCATTCAGCCACAAAATTACATTTTACACATTTACACATCAGCTGTACCAACACACTCATTTTGGATTCTCATTGAGTTTTCATACGAGCTTTGAAACCACATTTAATGCGTATCACTCTTTGTCTGTCTTATCTTAAAAACCAATTAGAAATGAGCTTAGCTAATTAAATTATTTCTAAGACGAGCTGTTTGCCGAGGCAGCGCGTGGAAACGGCTGATTGTTTGGAGAAAATGTTTGAAAATGTTTGTGCAAAACACGGCGTCTTGAATCATGCTAATGTGACATTCTGAACTCCTACAGTCAACACTCACACGGTGCCTCTTCCAGATAGCGGTTCAAATAAATATTCAACAGGCTTTTTCATATTTATGAAACTCCCAGTAATGAAATGCACATGTGTATTGGCCTGATTATAACAACAACATTATTAGCAGAAAACATAAATTTACAAAATGTGGTTTCCTTTGAAAGCTTATCGCACTGTGTTCAATATCCCCAAATTCCAAAATACAACAGAAATGATGTAAAAGCTTTTAGCTCATGATTGGTTGAATTGGGAAACTGAGACAAAACTTTAAATTCAGTGTATCATTGTTTTAACAGTAAATACAACAGACCATGACGTCAAACAGCCCAAAAGAACGGTAACAAAGGTCAATGTGTGATGTCATATGGTCAATGTGTGATGTCATAAGGTCAACGTGTGATGTCATATGGTCAATGTGTGATGTCATATGGTCAACGTGTGATGTCATATGGTCAATGTGTGATGTCATAAGGTCAATGTGTGATGTCATAAGGTCAACGTGTGATGTCATATGGTCAATGTGTGATGTCATAAGGTCAATGTGTGATGTCATATGGTCAACGTGTGATGTCATATGGTCAATGTGTGATGTCATATGGTCAATGTGTGATGTCATAAGGTCAATGTGTGATGTCATAAGGTCAACGTGTGATGTCATATGGTCAACGTGTGATGTCATATGGTCAATGTGTGATGTCATAAGGTCAACGTGTGATGTCATATGGTCAACGTGTGATGTCATATGGTCAATGTGTGATGTCATAAGGTCAACGTGTGATGTCATAAGGTCAACATGTGATGTCATATGGTCAACGTGTGATGTCATGAGGTCAACGTGTGATGTCATAAGGTCAACGTGTGATGTCATATGGTCAACGTGTGATGTCATATGGTCAACGTGTGATGTCATGAGGTCAACGTGTGATGTCATGAGGTTAACGTGTGATGTCATGAGGTCAACGTGTGATGTCATGAGGTTAACGTGTGATGTCATGAGGTTAACGTGTGATGTCATAAGGTCAACGTGTGATGTCATGAGGTCAACGTGTGATGTCATGAGGTCAATGTGTGATGTCATGAGGTCAACGTGTGATGTCATCAGGTCAACGTGTGATGTCATGAGGTCAACGTGTGATGTCATAAGGTCAACGTGTGATGTCATGAGGTCAATGTGTGATGTCATCAGGTCAATGTGTGATGTCATCAGGTCAACGTGTGATGTCATGAGGTCAACGTGTGATGTCATAAGGTCAATGTGTGATGTCATGAGGTCAACGTGTGATGTCATAAGGTCAATGTGTGATGTCATGAGGTCAATGTGTGATGTCATCAGGTGGATATTACTGTGTGAGAGTTTGTTAAAGTGAAATGAGACATTCAAAGATGCAGCAGTGAGACTACAGGGAGACACTGAGGACCACTATCTACGGAGAGCCTGAAGGGACAAAACAGCCTGAGATTAGTTCCTTCAGAATAATTTGCACTGATCCAATTTTGGTTAACAGGCGAGTAAAACATCCAAGTTACTAACTAGACTTGCCAGCTAGCTAACAGCTAACATAACAAACCAAAAATAAGAAGTTAGCTTGCTGACACTTTAAAAGATCGTATTTATGCCTAAGTATGGTAGAAGTTGAGGAAGTGACATTTTCCTTTAATTGTAATATGAAAATGAATTTACCTGAAATGGGTGTTGGTTAACCCTATAGCAGATGTTTGGGTCATTAGCGGACCAGGTTTTGAGCTCCTGGGACTTTTGATTCTCCTATCGTTGCCTTGCGGTTGAAGCCAGTTTCTTCAGAAGAGGCTTGAGGCCCTTAGAGCAGAAACAGTTGAACATGTTCTTATTAATTGTAGATAATATATCTTTTCTTGTCTTTGTTTTTTTTGTTTTTGCCAGATTGTGATTGAAGGTACAGTAGGCGATGATTTTAATGGAGACATCGCCATTGATGACCTCTCCTTCCTGAACTGTGTCCCATACGAAGGTGAGTGATTGTTCCTTAAAGGAGCAATATGTTTACTGCAGTCCAAATTATTAACATTGGAGAGAGTCGTCCAAACCAAGGAGCGTCCAAAACCGACATGTAGTGGTGCCTTAAAACCACCTCCCTTCTCAAATACAAACCAGAGAAGCCAGCACTCCAACATAGCATGTTTCCTTAATGTCTGATCAGATAGTAAGCTCACTTTATCATTAAGTTCAGTAGATATCTTACATATTGATCCTTTTACCTAAAAAGATAAGTTTCAGTAATGTGTAATTTCAGCTGCTGATGTCATGTTTTATACTTTCCCCCATTCCCAGGAGAGCTCCCCAAACCAAACACAACGACCCCCACAGTGACCCCTCCGGCCTCCACAGTCCTGCCCCACAGCTGCCCTGATGGAGAGTTTGTGTGTGGGGCACACGGGGAGTGTGTGTCTAACAGCAACGTGTGTGACTTCAGACAGGATTGTTCTGATGGCTCGGACGAATTCAACTGTGGTACAAAAATTAATTTCTGACATTTTCCGTCTTCCAAGTTCTCTTCCTTTTTTTGTGTGATTTCTAAGCCTACCTTTTCTTCTTCTTGACCTCTCTCTCACTCCAGTGAAGGAGCGGTGTGATTTTGAAGGTGGTGACACTTGTGGTTGGAAAAGCAACGACACCACATTTCACTGGTCACCGGAACAAGGGGAGAGCATTCATGATGGAGAGCAATACCATCGTCCTATTAACGACCACACCCTGTGAGTACGGCCAAATAAAGAAATGTTACAGTGACGTCTGTACATCTGAAGCTATTAATAACAATGCAGCAGCCAGTATGTCCTCCTTCTAACTTTAGATTCTGCTCCTGAATGCTCTGGATTTGTTTGGACCAGAGAAGGTAGGCGCTTTTAAGGCGACCCCCACCTTACGGCCATTTTGGACGCCCCTCGGTTTGCCAGATATGAGAGCAGTTATCAGGTCAACAGGTGTTGCAGTGATGGAAGCGGTCAAGAGAAGTGGTTCAGATAGAAGTGATTGTACCCGACCTAAAAAGCCTCTGCATGTTTCTAATAAGCTCCACGAGCAGAAACGTGCTCAAACTAGGATCAATATTGGAGATGCTTTTGAAAAATGGAGAGAGGTTAGAACACAGAAAGGTTTACAGACCCATGCAGAGCTGGATAAACACTGAAGCTTCAGAGTCCACCACATGGTGACCTGTGAGAGCATCCACTCTAGAGAGGAGGGGGGGGGGACAGCTCTCTGCAATGTTTAGAATTTAGGCTGCAGTACCCATTTTAAACACTAGGTGTCACAGTTACATACTGCTCCTTTAATTCCAGTTAATTACATTTATTGCAATCACAGACTGTTGGACGAATAAAACAAGAATGCTGAAGATGTCATCGTATGCTCTCTCTTTGTCTTTGAAGTCTCAAAAAAGAAGGATTAGCTATTAAAATAAGGTGGAGATTAAATAGAAGGAAAATGTGTAACCTAGTAAATACATGTTCATGTTAATGTGTGAAGGGAAGTCTCTGAAATGACATTTCTTCCACTGAAAGCTAATGTACTTTGTGAGCTGAAAGAGGGAGGCCCATCTAATAGCCTGCAGTGAACTGTTATCTATGTTTTATTGAGTGAATCGTGTGAGCAGAAAAGAAAAAACAGCGCTGCACTTTGACCAATACATCTCAGTCGTTTCTCGCCTCAGCCAGAACTGCAGACACATTCTTCTATCATAACCCCGAGGTCTGCCTGACACTCCGCCTCCTCCTCCCCTCGTGCTGCAGCCTTGACGGGCTCTCGATCAATAAGGTGTGAGTGAAGCGAAGAGGGGGAAGCTGTGCCTTATTTAACTCTGGTGGAGCCACGCCTCTTATGGCCGTTTAATAAAGCAGAGGCAAAAAGGGTTGGAGCAGATAGAGTCACAGTGCTGCAAGTTGTCATCGGGATTGCAATTATTAACTGAACTTAATATCACTGACATGTAGTAGTCTGCTGGGTATTTACTTGAGATACAAACTGTAAAACTCAGATATTGCTCATAGATACTTGGTGTTAATAGTTGATGATTTTGCCCCTAGGAAGTTCACCTCATCATGAATTAAACCTGTTTATAACTATAAAAATGAGCCCTCTGGTTATAAAAACAAACCTCCTCTCAGAAAAATATGTTTTATATGCTCATTGGATGTCTGGCCTTCACTTTGCAGGTAGATTAATGTGCAGCGTTTGACAGCAGAAGGTTGTTTTTCCCTTTAATCTGCTGAAGGGAGAAGGATTTCTCTGTGCTCACCTCACCTGAGTTTACCTGACACATGAGTCCATGAGCGTGATTTCTTACATCACAACCAATTTAGAAGCCGGTTCCTGGTTCAATATTTGAAGAATTACACAAGTCTGATAGTAAAAAATTGCACTCAAGGTTGTAAATTTTAACGAGTATGGACTCTTCTGGAGGGATGAGAAATTCTGTGTTCTGCTGTTTTTCTTTCATTTTCTGCATTCATAGACTCTCGATTTGGAATCAAGGAAGACATATTTTAGGTAATTTTAAGAACCTTTAAAGAAGTAATTGAGGTTTTGTTGAGCTTGACAGTAGCGTTGGGAAAAACTATCAATACTGCAAAATCTTGTAGTTCTTCTTTGTGAAAGAGAGAGAACATTTCAAGAAAGTAAAAAGGCTCAACTTCCTAAAAAATCACGTCAGAGTAGAGATTTAGTTATGATCCTGTTCTTTCTCTACTCCCACAGAGGCAGTCCAGAGGGTTGGTATATGTGCGCCGACAGCTCAAACGGCAAATACGGTCAAACCACCGACCTCCAGACACCCTTCATCTCCTCCACTGGGCCACAGTGCACCCTGGTCTTCTGGTACCACATGAGCGGCTTCACAGTGGGATCACTGCAGGTAAGGAGAGAGGGAACATGCTCTGCTCAGCGTGATGATGAGGCTCCATGTTAAAACCTGTCTCTCGTATCAACCTGTATCTGCAGGTTCTGCTGAAGAATGGGAACGTCACTCAGGAGGTTTGGTCTCAGACTGGTAACCAAGGCAACAAATGGAGACGAGGAGAAGTGTTTTTGGGGTTGTCGAACACCTTTCAGGTCTGTACGTTTTTAAAGTTACTTAGCAGTGTAATACATTATTAGTCTCAGAGCTCCTCAAAACATGTGTGTGAAGTTTCTTGTTCTAAATCCACTCTGATCCTGTATTTGATCATGTCTATAAACCCCTCTATTTCAGCCCTGCTCAGAACAGGCTGTTTCTGTGTCTGTACCTTTAAATATGTAAATGAGCTGTGTCTGACCACGCCCCTCTCTGGAAGGGGCTTGGGTGTACTCGGTCTTTCTCGCTCCATGTCCTATTGTTTACGGTGAGAAGGCAGACTCAGAGGGCAGAACAAACACCTAGCTGTGGGAGTGTCACCCACCTGGGGGAGGGGCTACTGCCCTTTGTGATGTCATGAAGGGAAAATCTCCAAATGGCCTGTTTGAGCACACATTTTCTGAAAAGTGGAGCAGACAGAAGATGGAGAGGATGGACTTTTCTCATGATTGGGGGGTTTGTAGACAGACTAGAGACACATGTTAGAGTTAGAGAAACAGTTAATTTTGCATAATTTGTGGACTTTTTAGGAAAGTTATGGGAACCAGCTGCGGTTCTACTAGCAGAATAAAAACCAGAATATATCACAAAGAAACTAAATGTTTCTCAAACTTCATTCAGCCTCATTCAGGGTTGACAGGGACTTCTATGAGATAACAACGTTAATGGTCAATTTTGAGCTCAAATCTATGTCTATATTTTACAATATTAAAGTGGCATTCTGATTATTGGCATTCAGTTTAAAGGGAAGAACAGCCTTTTAGCTCACTCTCCACATCAGAGTAATGAGCCTCATTTCAGTTAAGGTGTGCTAAATGGAAGCGTGGCCTCGCTGATCAATGATGAATCGAATGAGTCTAATTCAGTCTAATGAGTCTTTACGTTTGACTGTGACGGTAATCAGAGGTTCAAGCCATCCAGTGAATCCGCCTGCTGAGGTTATTCCAGGCCAACAACACACACACACACACACACATACACTTCTACACACACAAACACACACTGGACAGAGGTCTCGATTGCACGTGACAGGAGCAGTCACCTCTTTGACCAAATACCACGGCCTTTGCACATTTTCACTGATGCAAATTAACCTTTGTCAGAGCGGACGCTCACGGATCTGCACTGATGGTGCAAGGAGCAGCTGAGGTGCCCTTTTCCTCTTGTCTCTTAGCTCTTCATCAACCGACTGCCCTGAGACACAGAATCACATCAGTCAGTAGAAGAGCAGCATTCAGCTCCTGCTTTTCTTTTTTTTTAGCGCCTTGTCTCATGAGCTCAAGCATCAAACACTGGGCCTGGTGACAACCTCGAGGTTTCATCCTTCAGTTTACTAAGACTGAGCGGAAGTCTTCAGCTTAGTCAGGAGACAAAGTGTAACCATGAAGGTCATTCAGTTATTATTTTGTTTTGGGTGTGTGTGTGTGTGGGTTTTTTTTTTATGTGGGTTGCTTGTTTGTTGTTGTTTTATTTTTCTCTATTACAAAAAAAATGGGCAAACTAAGATATTATTATAACCATTTAGTTTTCTTCTTCTGCATTCTATTATTAATTTTGTATAACATTGTATAAAAAAAAGAATAATGATGTAAGAAATGAACTATGTCTGGATAAATGAACTATGTCTGGATAAATGAACTATGTCTGGATAAATCAACTATGTCTGGATTGCCCAATAAATACAAAGTTGCAAAGAAGTTATTATTTAAGACTAAATGAGCTCAATATAGAGGTAGAGCATTTTGGCTGTACGAGGATATCAGAGGAGGCTGCTGTCTCGGGCGTTCACATGGACGTGTATTTCTAAGATTCAGCGCAGCAGAAACAAGGCTCAAGTTTATTCGGGGCAAGAGACTTAAAGTCGACAACTAAGTCAGGCCTAAATGAAGAAGACCAGTTCAGCACTTAGGCTAAGGCTTGGTAATGACCAGTTGGTGAAATCCAGATTCCTTGAAGTTGAATTTGAGTTGATCGAATGTTTGTTGTGTCGGTCAGGTGGTGTTCAGGGTGAAGCGAGGGATCAGCTACATGGGTGACGTGGTGATAGACGATGTCAGCTTCCTGCGCTGCTCCCCTCCTCTTCCTCTGGAGGAGCCGTGCACACCTGAGCAGTACGCCTGCGCCAACGGCCAGTGCATCCCTGAGGACAACCTGTGTGACTTCATCAACCACTGCGGGGACCAATCGGACGAGGACCCCTACATCTGCAGTGAGACCCCCCCCGATGACACCCTGAGAAAGATTAACTTTCACACAATTGTACAGACTCAATTTTCTTAATTTTCTCTTTGCTGCCTTTCAGAGGGCTTTGGCTTGCGCTGCAGTTTCGAGTTCGACCTCTGTTCCTGGCGTCAGTTGCGGGAGGACGACTTTGATTGGCTGATAAAAGCGGGCAGCACTCCAACAGTTGGCGCTGGGCCTTCGAGTGACCACACCCTGGGAGACCCCTCTGGTCACTACCTTTACCTGGAGAGCTCCTTCCCCCAGGCAGCCGGGGACACCGCCCGCATATCAGGACCGTTACTGAGCCGCAATAGCAAAGACTGCAAGGTGAGCTGGAGTCTAATACTAACTCTGAAATAGAAAAACTAAGAGTAAGAGTAGATGGAACAAGTGAAAGAAAACACTTGGTTCAAAAGCAAGACTATTTGAGCATTTACAGTGTTTGATCAATAAACACTTTCATGTTTATTATCCTACCCTCTTATAATTGTTCAGCTTAATTAACTCCTGAGATTCACTTTTAAAGTCTTTATTTGTGATGTTTCTCACTTAAATGTAGAAATCAAGTATCTCCTCTGAAAATAACTCTGTGAGTCATGACTGTCTACAATGGGTGTAACACCCGAGTCCCACTGTCTGTGATGTTTTCAGAGTTTTCAGAGTCCTATCTTCACTTTGTTTACATCGCCTGGACGGCCGGCTGACTCCTCCCCTCGTGTATAAAAGTTGTTTAATTGAGGGACTAGAGAAAAGAAGAATAACATACTGTACTCACTGCTTAACTGTGTTTCTAGATCACGCTCATTTCAGGTAAATTTACATGCAGTGTGAAGATACCAGCATAATAAAGATCACTAGCATTAGCATGCTAACACAACAATGCAACGCCAGTTGTTTTGGTTTCATGCTGGTGCTCAAGGGCGACATCTGCTGGATCAAAAAAAAAAGAGTTATCAATCCTCCCGTCAAAGTCACCGCAAGAAAGAACTTATAATATTTATCAAAGATGTCTTTGTCTGCTAAAAGAGTCTTCAGAAATGATTGTCTTTGAATCAGTGGTTTTTGGTCATGCATTAATGTGCAGATGTGTTGTAACACAGCAAGCAATTAGTAACTGAGTATACAGTATGTGTGTGTGCTCTTCATAGTGTGTGTGTGTGTGTGTGTGTGTGTGTGTGTCGACCCAGCTGTCAGCCTGATGCTCCACCGAGGAGTGATGTCTTGATTGACTGCACAGTTTGCTCTGCACGTCGTTCCTGTCTTATCCCACTCCCGACCTGTCAATCAATCAAACAGTCAGCGAAAAGGCACCAATTAAACTGAAGGGACGGGAGGGAGGGAAGGAGTTAGAGAGGGAGGGATGTGCAATCTCTCTCCTGAGATGGAGGGTGAAGTTGTGCTGCGGTATAGCTCATGAACACACCTCTATTTGGAGAAGAGCCATAAAACATATTGCTGCCTCAGAGGAAAGTCTCAATCTCTCTCTGAGCGTCGACTAAGAATAAAATACATCTTTCTAGAGAAAAGGTTTAAACTTAATCACCTTTTTTTATGCCTCCACTTTTTTGGTTTCTTTCGATATTAATCCTTCAGGGGTGATGGTTTTCCAGCAGATAAAATCAAAAGAATATATTAGAAAATAAAAAAGTGTCTGTTTGTATTAAAACTCTAACATGTGTCTCTAGTCCGTCTACAAACCCCCCAATGATGAGAAAAGTCCATCCTCTCCGTCTTCTGCCTGCTCCACTTTTTCAGAAAATGTGTGCTCAAACAGGCTGTTTGGAGATTTTCCCTTCATGACATCACAAAGGGCAGTAGCCCCTCCCCCAGGTGGGTGACACTCCCACAGCTAGGTGTTTGTTCTGCCCTCTGACTCTGCCTTCTCACCGTAAACAACAGGACATGGAGCGAGAAAGCACTGAGTATACCCAAGCCCTTCTAAAGAGGGGGCGTGGTCAAACACAGCTTTACATATTTAAAGGTACAGGCACAGAAACAGCCTGTTCTGAGCAGGGCTGAAATAGAGGGGTTTATAGACATGATCAAACACAGGATCAGAGTGGATTTAGAACAAGAAACTTCACACACATGTTTTGAGGAGCTCTGAGACTTATTTACACTGAAGAAGAGGAGGATATGTCACCTTTAAATTAAAACATTTTTAATTTTGTGACCATTCTCCAGATGCGTTTCTACCTCCACATGTCCGGAGATGGCATCGGGACCCTCGGCGTGTTCAGGAAGAGCGAAGGACGCCTTCAGCTCCTGCTGAACCTGACGGGAGATCAGGGAAACTACTGGCAGAGGAGGGAGATTCAGCTAAGCCACACCGGAGACTTTCAGGTGGTCTTCGAGGGAAAGGTGGGCCGCAGCCAAAAGGGTGATATCTGCTTGGACGACATCATGTTCACTCCAGGGTGTCTGCTCGCCTACTCAGTTGAAACAGAGGACAACACTCCTCCACCTCCCCCAGGTACACTCTCTACTCGCTTCCTTACTAAGCTGTCACAACCATAAAAACTGTCTGAACAGTACCGGGGGGACTTATCCGCTAAGCTTATAAATAATAGTTTTTTAATCCCTTTAAAAAGGAGCATACTGAAGTCCTTTAAGTAACTATCTGGGTTTTTTTCATAGCTGAGTTTCTTTTCACCAAATGTTAAGAAATGACGTCCAGTGTGAGAAGAAGAACCCCGAGTGTTAATTAAAATGATTTTCCTATTTGAGGAAAGATATCCCAGTCTTCAAAGAAGATAACTGCAGTTTTGATGACTTGTGTGATAGTGTGCTGATAAGAGCATCAGAGAATTATTGGCTGCTGGGTGAAAAACTGGAAGTTTCAGAAACTAGTTCAGTCAGCATTAAACAAGAAAACTGCCCTGAATAAAGCAGGTTTGTAAAGTATGTCCATAACATGACTTAGTAAACATTTTAAGAGCCTATGTCACAATAATGTCACAGTATTAGCTGGACGCAAAATGAAGCTTAACTAGATGGAAACAAGAATCTCCACCACAGAGTAGTATAACATATTGTAAATATTAGTGGAGGAAGCCTGAGGGACGTCACCCGTTCCTGCAGGGGGCGCTGGAGTCCCATCGATGGCGGTCTCCATGCTGCGAGCTGGAGCTGAGGCGGGTTTTAAACCTCCTGACAAACCGTTACACCGCGCCCACCTGTCAATCAGGTCAGCTACACGCCTTATTGTGAATAACTCTTATCCTTCATCAAATCAAAACTGATGAGTCATCAAAACATTCACCCCCCGTACAGTGTGTGTCCATCCAGACATGACTAATCACACCTATTAGGTTTTTTGAACCAGGCTGTAAACATGTTCATCTCTGCTGTAAAAACAGGCTTTTTACAATGGGTGTGTATGTGACTTCCTGTGCTTCTGCAGCCAGCCTCTAGTGGACACTCCAGGAACTGCAGGATTTTGCAATTCTGCATTGGCTTACTTTTTAATAAACTGGAGGTTGCTACTTAGAGTTTACTTATCCCATTAACACTCTCGTCATGGAGAGTGACTTCATACATTTAGAGAGACTCGCATTTTCTTGTTTCAAAAGCTAGCCATAAAGAATCTGCTAGCTAGCGTTAGCTGTCAATAGAGCTAGAGCGCTAGCATCACATCAACAAAAAATGTTGCTGTCTCATTTAAATATTTTTGGACATCTGAGCAGCCTTGTTCACAATCTTCTTTTAACTAAAGTATTGTTAAGATATGGAAAAAACAATAAAAACACATTATCCATGAGACACAAAGCAGAATCATTCTGAATTACTCCCTCATTGACTTGATGTCCTGAGGTCCCTCACAGTGTTTGTCCCTGTACATCTAAGCACAGACTAAAGCCAGCCCCTTCATCGTCTGAATCTGCGGCTGGGGAACGATTCATCTCTTCGATGGTCCTCTGCATCCCTTCCCCTCTTTACGGGGGAAACCTTTCAGAGGCGAGAGAAAACAACTAGAGCTGATTTATTGCCTTTGTTACTGGGCCTATAATTGGCCTGTTAAATTTATTGTCTTTCTCTTGTATTGGATGCCGGGCAGGAGACAGTTTCTAAACTCTACTGTGCTCAGAAATGAGTGAAGCTGTGAAGCTGTGAGGCCCCTGAATGAGGCTCTGTTGTTGTTTTTAAAGAGAGATGAGCTGCAGAAGACGAGATTCGTCAACAGAAGTGTGATGCATCTCTTTTTTCTTAAATAAAAAAAAAATGCATAAGAAAAAAAAAAACATTTACAAGATCAACCCCCTCCCCCCCCTTTTTTTTTTTAAACACGAGAGAATCTTTTCTTAAGACATTTACAAGCAGAGCAAAGAAAGCAGGTCTGAAGGATGTGGAGAGTACATAGACGTTTTGGACAGGGAGTACAACCTCTGCTCTGACAGTGAAACCAAGTTCATCCCACCATTAAGGGAAGTGCAGGAGGCGGGGGGGCGGGGTGGAGGGTGGTTTATAGCTGCTGCAGGCTGAAGTGGATGTACAGTTATACTGATGAGCCCAAAGACAGCAGGAGCTGTAATTATATACTGAAGCCCCTCAGGCCTGCTTCATTCTAAAACATCATCTCATTACATGATGGAGTACTGGAGCGCCGCGTGCGCCCGCAGCATGAGCCTGTGTTTTTTTTCCTTCCCTTTTAAAAACACATTGTAGACTGATGCAGAATACTCAACATAGACTTAACACATTCAGAGGCTCTATGTGTCGATGCAGCCCACATGGAGAAAAACAAAACATACCCAGCAATCAGAATCAGAAATGTAATTGAGTTTCTGCTCTGTCAGACTTCATAATCAGGCAGCAGAGATAATAAAAAGTGGAATAATGAAAGTCATGGAAGGATCCATGACTTTCATTAGAAGATTTCACTCACATGGAGGTTATTAATGAAGGTAAAAATGTATTTTTGAACCCTCCCCGGTCAGTACATTATTTGGCTTTGAGCTGAACTTGTCTGTAGAAAATACACAACAGTCACCTTCACTCCATGGCCCTCTGTACTCAACACCAGTGCACTATTACAATATTCTAATTATAATTGGCATTATTGACATCCAGAGGTGCTGCTTGTCAACAGGGCAGGGCAGGCAACAGCTTAGGGCCCCAAATCAGAACGGGGGCCCCAAGGGTTGACAAACTTTAAAAAGAGACAAAAAAGTCAGCACACTAAGTGTCCTTCATGTTTCCTATATTCCTTTATCTAGGGCGCTGATGAAGGCCTAGTGCTGAAACGCGTCCGTTGTTGTTTTGCCGATGCTCTCGCCCAGATAAAGGAAACTTTAGTGTGCTGATTTTTTGTCTCTTTTTAAAGTTTGCTTGGGGCCCCCTACTGATCTGGGGCCCCAAGCAGTTGCCTGCCCTGCCTGTTGACAAGCAGCACCTCTGGAGTTCAATAGTCTTCTTGTGGTCGTGCACCTGGAACTTTATTCATTGTCGAGTGTGCTCCTTTTTTCTTTGCAGTTTTTCACAATCTTTAAACCTTAAAATACTCTCAAAATGTGCAAATTTTGCAATGACAGTAGGAAACCTCCCTAAGGGGGGCCCCATATAACAGCACTCACTCTGGTTGTCCAACAAAGCGTCACATGTGTTGTTGCTGTGAAACCAAAGTTTGTCAATGAAAGTCAACAAAGGAAAAGAGAGGGATTATCTGTTTATAGGAGACATAATTGGGGGGAGCACTGGTTGGAGGCCCCCCAATTAATTTTTGCCGAGGGCCCCAACAGACTCTTGAATCACCACTGCTGACATCAGTTAAAGTAGTATATAAAATTAATGATCTGAAGAAATATCCTACCAGGAGGGGGCAGTGTGCCTTCCATACTGTGTAGGGGGACAGAGGGTCCCTGGTGTGAAGGTCATTCATCACACAGCATTAAAGAGCATCAAAGTTATCTATGTCATAAAATAAGAACTCAAATGAATGAGGACAAATTAATTCAGAGTGTAACCGACTTCTAGGAGAAGTGTCCTATTGCATGAACACTTCTTTAATATGAATCCACTGTGCTCCGCTGACAGGAGGTGAGGAAGCCTGGCTTCACAGTCGGGGGGGGGGCGTGGCTTCCTGGCTTCCTGGCTTCCTCTGTGGCTTTGTTGGGGCCGCATTGCTTCTGGTCCTGTGCATCTGAAGAGGAACAAAAGGATTAGGAGGGACTTATACCCCTTTCTCTCCTTTTACTTACAGGGACCACCCCTCTTCATCACGCCTCATCTCCTTTTCTAACACTCCCCAAAGCCAGGCTCTGACCCTGCTGGAATGCCTGGCACCAAAAGAAGCAGATTCCAGCCCCCCACCCACCCCCCCACAACTTCAGCACCCTATGATACACTGATTTTGGTTTATAGCTGTATGCTCTTTTGTCTTCTTAAAGCCTCTTAAAGAGACCCTGATGCTGTATGCAGATGGTCTCCACACTCTTTTTGTTTCCCTCAGAATGAAAACTGAACTCTTGTTACGAGGAGAAGTTTTACTGTAAAATACTGTATTTTATTGCGTTTCCCATTCTTTTCTATCTTGTGCCACTTTTGCCTTTATTAGATTAGACATGAAATGTTTGGTTGTAAGAGAGAGGGATGCCAAGCAGCAGAGGGCTGAGGTCAGATTCGAACCCACGGGTCTATAGCCTCTGTACAAGCGGAACGCAACATAACCGCTAGGCTATCTAGCGCCCTTTGCTATGTCATTCTTGAAGGAATAATCTGTTTTTATATTATTCTTGCCAAGACTGAGACGAGAAGAACAACACCATACAACATGTCTGTATCATTACAATAAATATAACGCCTGTGGTAGATTAGCGTAGCTTAGCATTAAGACAAGAAACAGGAAAACGGTCAGTGATTTCACTTAATATGTTTCTTTTTGTCCAGAAAAAACAAAGTAATCTAAAAATAAGTACATTTTTGAGGCTCTGGTAGGTAGATTTTGACCTCTAGTGAAGTCGGCGTAGCGTTTCACCCTGTTTTATGTTATTATGCTAAGCAATAACTGGCCGTTTTTAGCAATGAGTGGAACTATATCCATAACATTTAACAAGTGAGCAAATTCATGCTCTTCCACACATCAGTCTCTCTCAGTACAATAAAACATAACAATTGTAATGTTGGAAAACAAACACGAGTAGTGTGAGTTATATTTTTACCTGCTTGTCTTGTTTTTTCCAGGCATTTGTCCTTCAGACCTCCTGCCGTGTGAAAATGGCCGGTATTTCCACCCAGGGCGGAGCTGTGACTTCACAGACGATTGTGGCGACGGCACCGATGAAAAGGATTGTGGGACTTCCTGCAGCTTTGAGAGCGGTCGCTGTGGCTGGAAGAGCTCCCCGGCCGATAATTTCAATTGGACGCTGGGCACGGGGTCTGTCAGAAGCATGCGGCCTCCGCACGACCACACACTGATGGATGAAAATGGTTTGTATTCACACTGTGTTTGTAGAACATATACTCTTTTAAAAAGTCCCCTAATTTAGCAGTTTTAAAACTTTTGATGAGTCCAGTTTCTCCTGACGATGAGATTCTGTGCTTTTCCAGCCTCCGCTCTGAATTACCATCGTGTAATTGAGCAAGTGCATGAACACTTGTGGGTGGTTTTGTTTAACCAGCGAAAACGAAACCGAGCTGAATTTAAAATGTTCACCTGTTTGCATTCCAAATGTTGCTGTAGCTCTCCACAATGTTTAATTCATGTTTCATCCACTTTGTGTGACAAAATCAATGAGCTACTTCCCAGAATGTGAATGTTCAGCAGGTGAGCTTGGGTGCGATTGATGCACAGCTTTAATTCCATCATTCAATGTGTACAATGAAAAGGGAAAGAACACAAGGGCAAAGAAGGAGCAGTTACAGTGGTGCAAAAAGGCTCAGAACATGGAGACTACAGAAAATATAGACTCTTGAAATATTATATAATAATAACTTTATTTCTATAGCACCTTTTAAAAACACAGGTTTACAAAGTGCTTTGACAAACAGCAAAAACAAGAACAAACTAAACCAAACACAGAAGAACATAAACAACAACAAGAACATAACAAATGCAAAATACTAAAAATAATTAAATACAATTCAACAGAAAAGAACCCAAAGTGCACGATACACAACAGACATATAGAACCCGACCATCACAAGAACCATCATAAGAACCATCACAAGAACCATCATAAGAACCATCATAAGAACCATCACAACAACCATCACAAGAACCATCACAAGAACCATCATAAGAACCATCACAAGAACCATCACAACAACCATCACAAGAACCATCATAAGAACCATCATAAGAACCATCACAAGAACCATCACAAGAACCATCACAAGAACCATCACAAGAACCATCACAACAACCATCACAACAACCATCATAAGAACCATCACAAGAACCATGATAAGAACCATCATAAGAACCATCACAAGAACCATGATAAGAACCATCACAAGAACCATCACAAGAACCATCATAAGAACCATCACAAGAACCATCACAAGAACCATTATAAGAACCATCATAAGACCATCACAAGAACCATCACAAGAACCATCACAACAACCATCACAAGAACCATGACAAGAACCATCACAAGAACCATCATAAGACCATCACAAGAACCATCACAAGAACCATCACAAGAACCATCACAAGAACCATCACAAGAACCATCACAAGAACCATCATAAGAACCATCACAAGAACCATCACAACAACCATCATAAGAACCATGATAAGAACATCACAAGAACCATCATAAGAACCATGATAAGAACCATCATAAGAACCATCACAAGAACCATCACAAGAACCATCATAAGAACCATCATAAGAACATCACAAGAACCATCATAAGAACCATCACAAGAACCATCACAAGAACCATCACAAGAACCATCACAAGAACCATCATAAGAACCATCACAAGAACCATCATAAGAACCATCATAAGAACCATCATAAGAACCATCATAAGAACCATCACAAGAACCATGATAAGAACCATCATAAGAACCATCACAAGAACCATGATAAGAACCATCACAAGAACCATCACAAGAACCATCACAAGAACCATCACAAGAACCGTCACAAGAACCATCACAAGAACCATGATAAGAACATCACAAGAACCATCATAAGAACCATGATAAGAACCATCATAAGAACCATCACAAGAACCATCACAAGAACCATCATAAGAACCATCATAAGAACCATCATAAGAACCATCATAAGAACCATCACAAGAACCATCACAAGAACCATGATAAGAACCATCACAAGAACCATCATAAGAACCATCATAAGAACCATCATAAGAACCATCATAAGAACCATCACAAGAACCATGATAAGAACCATCATAAGAACCATCACAAGAACCATGATAAGAACCATCACAAGAACCATCACAAGAACCATCACAAGAACCATCACAAGAACCGTCACAAGAACCATCACAAGAACCATGATAAGAACATCACAAGAACCATCATAAGAACCATGATAAGAACCATCATAAGAACCATCACAAGAACCATCACAAGAACCATCATAAGAACCATCATAAGAACATCACAAGAACCATCATAAGAACCATCATAAGAACCATCACAAGAACCATCACAAGAACCATGATAAGAAACATCACAAGAACCATCATAAGAACCATGATAAGAACCATCATAAGAACCATCACAAGAACCATCACAAGAACCATCATAAGAACCATCACAAGAACATCACAAGAACCATCATAAGAACCATCACAAGAACCATCATAAGAACCATCACAAGAACCATCACAAGAACCATCATAAGAACCATCACAAGAACCATGATAAGAACCATCACAAGAACCATCATAAGAACCATCACAAGAACCATGATAAGAACCATCATAAGAACCATCACAAGAACCATCACAAGAACCATCATAAGAACCATCATAAGAACATCACAAGAACCATCATAAGAACCATCACAAGAACCATCACAAGAACCATCACAAGAACCATCACAAGAACCATGATAAGAACCATCACAAGAACCATCATAAGAACCATCATAAGAACCATCATAAGAACCATCATAAGAACCATCACAAGAACCATGATAAGAACCATCATAAGAACCATCACAAGAACCATGATAAGAACCATCACAAGAACCATCACAAGAACCATCACAAGAACCATCACAAGAACCGTCACAAGAACCATCACAAGAACCATGATAAGAACATCACAAGAACCATCATAAGAACCATGATAAGAACCATCATAAGAACCATCACAAGAACCATCATAAGAACCATCATAAGAACCATCATAAGAACCATCATAAGAACCATCACAAGAACCATCACAAGAACCATGATAAGAACCATCACAAGAACCATCATAAGAACCATCATAAGAACCATCATAAGAACCATCATAAGAACCATCACAAGAACCATGATAAGAACCATCATAAGAACCATCACAAGAACCATGATAAGAACCATCACAAGAACCATCACAAGAACCATCACAAGAACCATCACAAGAACCGTCACAAGAACCATCACAAGAACCATGATAAGAACATCACAAGAACCATCATAAGAACCATGATAAGAACCATCATAAGAACCATCACAAGAACCATCACAAGAACCATCATAAGAACCATCATAAGAACATCACAAGAACCATCATAAGAACCATCATAAGAACCATCACAAGAACCATCACAAGAACCATGATAAGAAACATCACAAGAACCATCATAAGAACCATGATAAGAACCATCATAAGAACCATCACAAGAACCATCACAAGAACCATCATAAGAACCATCACAAGAACATCACAAGAACCATCATAAGAACCATCACAAGAACCATCATAAGAACCATCACAAGAACCATCACAAGAACCATCATAAGAACCATCACAAGAACCATGATAAGAACCATCACAAGAACCATCATAAGAACCATCACAAGAACCATCACAAGAACCATCACAAGAACCATCATAAGAACCATCATAAGAACCATCACAAGAACCATCACAAGAACCATCACAAGAACCATCATAAGAACCATCATAAGAACCATCATAAGAACCCAACAACACGAGCTGAGACCAAGAGGACCAAAGATTTAAAAAGACGTAAGAAACTAAAAGAGATAAAAGTAAATCAAAAGAGAACAGCAATAAGAAGGTAAGAGCAGGAAGAGAAATAGAAACAAGTGAATAAATTAAATAAAAAAAATAATAATATTTACAAAAATAAAAAGTATATACATAAAACATAAATAGACAAAGTAAGTAAGATAAAAAATTACCAAGTTTAAACATAAGAGGATTTAAGATAAGAGCATAAATAAAAGGACAGTAAGAAGTAAATTATAGTGGGAGAGAATAACTGCCACATATTTGCAGAAAGTCAGACATCCTTCCCATCCTGTTTCCGGTTCTTTGAGGTTCCTCTTTTCTTTATGAGCCTGACTCACCTCAGAAATCTTCCACAGAGCTCCCCTGGGTGCCCGGCGGCAGTGAGATATTAGAAGATGTGTCAGCGATAACTCTGTGACCCTAAGCCCTCCCTCCCCAGCCACGCTGCTTTAACCTTGCTGTAATTTGTCACTGGGCTGCAAGAGCTTCCTGGTACAGAGATAGATATCAATTCCTCTTTTCCCCTTCCTCCTTTCCTCACCATCCTTTCTCTGCAGGTCATTTCATCTACCTGGAAGCTACACCTGTGGGACTAAAAGGAGATAAAGCTCATATCAGAAGCTCTGTTTGGAAAGAGTCGAGCGCCATCTGCAAGCTTTCCTTCTGGTACTACATTTCCCACAAGGCCTCTGGAACAATCCGCCTGCTGATCAAGGTAAGACATGTTTTTTTGACTATGTTGAACTCACACCAACCAAGATAAGCAATGTTGATTCTAACTGATATCAAAGGAGCAACATCAGACCCACCGCTTGGTTTCAATGCCAGATTTGATTAAAAGATGAAAATGAAGATGGTTAACGAGTCAGTGCACTGAATCCATCATATGTGGAGGTGAATGATGGGCGTTGTGGTCAACCCTCGGCCCCAGAGACATCTCTACCCCACCATCTGGGCACACACCGGCCCTTCCACTTCTCATGGCTCCTCACTTGTTAAGCACTCAGCCATCTAGTTTGTGTATTCATGCTCGACTTTGGGAGGGATTAAGACTTCTGCTGCAGCTTTTTCCCGCCATTTAAATTCTGCTGTGGTGTACTCTGCCTGCTACCTCCTGCAACTTCACTTCACTTCACTTCACTTTGTCGAGTACGACTCAAGGTCAAGGTGCGGGAGTAGACTTACTCTTTGGGTGTTTTTTATTTGTGTCTGAGGCTGCAGATTTATTTCTCACTCACAGCAAATGTGGGGTTGTCAGAGTGTCCTTATGTGAACTACAGAAAACAGCTTTGCAATTTTGCAGAACACGTCAGCGAGTTTTTTATGTAAATTTAAAATAAAGCAGTAAAGGAAGGGTCCCAACACATTTGCATATCATAAAATGCAAAAGAAGGACACTGATACTGACTGAGGCTGCAGCAGCAAAGTCATCGAGGTAACAGAGCAGGACTTTATATAAGGATATGATTTCATGAAGGATAAGAGTTTTTCACAATAAGGGCGCGTAGCTGACGTGGTTGACAGGCGGGTGGAGGCTGGAGTGAAATGTGCTCTGAGTTTTTTGTCGCTGAAAGCTGTGACACTATAAGAAAAAGGCAATATTAAGTGTAAAGGGTTAAATGTCTATTTACATAAAAAGACTGCGCCCTAATTGCCTTTAGGTTTGGGAATTGAGGCTTAAACTTGCCTGTTGTGCTGTGATGGTTGTGTTTTTGAACATTGAGACTTGGTCTTCAAATTTCAACTGGAGTCAATATGTTTGGTTTTGTGGAATAAAATATTAAATATTTGCTTTTTTTCATGTTAAATATGAAATGACTCTTCAGTCTCTTACATAGTATGTTCTGCTTATGCACCTGTGGATGTACCTATTGTTTTTACTGATCCTGTTTTGTATTTTAGATATATGCACAAGTTCTCCACCCCCCTGCTGTGTTATTGATTTTACATGAAGTGTTGTGCAGACGCTTTAAGAAATTCAAATCACATCATGTGTCCCTTTTTTTTTTCTTCAGTCAGGCCCGCTGGTTATGTGATTGATAGTGTGTCTGTGTGCGAGGCTGCACATGATGAATACATGTTACAAGTCCTCCATGTTCATGTGCACGGCTGGAAAATGTAAAGTTTGGCCTTTGAAGAAGAAGGTTCGAGCTCGATTTGAAAACGAGGAACAGACAGAGACAGAGCGTGGAGAAATCAGAGGTCATTATGTAGGATTTTGCTGATTGTGTGTGTGTCTGTGTGTGTTGTCTGACTTTCTGTCTTTTTACGAGTGTGTGGGAGAAAGAGAGAGAGAATCAATATCTGAGCTCAGCTGTGTGTCCCTATAGTCTCCCCTCACACACAATTGAAGTTAAGTGCATGTATGACCTCGCAGGTTCAGAGACATTAGCACTTACACGTTATTGCTTTGTGCTGTAATTTATCACGTTATAGCTTTTATACAGCGTCATATCGCCTCGAGTCAAAGAGACAACATAAATACAAACATGAAAACACACTCAGACAGGCATCGCAGTGTAAACACAGAGTGTGAGGGATCGGAGAACAAAGGCAGTTATGGTAATGATGCTGGACTCAGAGTAGGAGGGAGGGGCTTATACTCACTTGACTTACATGTTTTACTTTCAGTTAAAGTCTTTATATATGATTTTTTGATCCAGCAGATGTCGCCCTTGAGCTCCAGCATGAAACCAAAACAACTCGCGCTGCATTGTTGTGTTAGCATGCTAATGCTAGTGATCTTTATTATGCTGGTATCTTCACACTGCATGTAAATTTACCTGAAATGAGCGTGATCTAGAAACACAGTTAAGCAGTGAGTACAGTATGTTATTCTTCTTTTCTCTAGTCCCTCAATTAAACAACTTTTATACACGAGGGGAGGAGTCAGCCGGCCGTCCAGGCGATGTAAACAAAGTGAAGATAGGACTCTGAAAACTCTGAAAACATCACAGACAGTGGGACTCGGGTGTTACACCCATTGTAGACAGTCATGACTCACAGAGTTATTTTCAGAGGAGATACTTGATTTCTACATTTAAGTGTGAAGAATCACAGATTAAGACTTTAACTGCTGCTCAGAGTTGTTTTAGTCACACTGATAACTGTCCTCTACAACCTGAACAAAAACAGGAGTCAGACAGGTGGGTAACAGACCAATCTGATACCCCCCCTTTGTGACATCTATTTATCGCTTGACAAGGACAATGTGAATTTATAACACTTCTGATTCTGAATGGATGACAGACAAAGCAGGTTTTTTTTTTTTTTTTTTTTTTTAAATCTCTCGTCCAGTTAATTCCCCAGTGTGTTATAGATTTCCTTTAACCCTAGAACACTAACTAACAGTTTTGTAACACCATCACTAATGTCGGGTATATTTTACCTGATATAATATACCCAATAAAACATACTTCCCACCAAAATATATTAAAGTACAACAATACATTGAAGTACTCTACGTTATTACGTCTCATAAACACAAAAAGTGTCATGGGGGGAAACACATAAAAAGGCTCTAAGATTAGTGAAAAATTAGGGAATTGTTGATGATAATAAGGTTAATAACCCTAACCCTAAAACAAAAGGAGCCGGGAACTCGTTCTTCGTCCACCCGTTCCTGGGACATGTGAGGCTAAGTCACTGACAACTGTGGGAAATATTTTAACTCTCTATCACTTAACGTCGGGTGAAAAAACCAGGGCTGGGAGCAGGGAAACTCACTTACCTTCAGTGAGCAGACTGAAGCTTCCCACAGCGGATGATCACAATCCCCCAACGTTAGTGTTCTAGGGAGCAAAGAATACATCGCCCTCCCTCCAAGACTTTACATTTCATGTTTAATAAGAGCAGACTGTTTGTATAGTAAGCCTTTCTCTTCCACAAATCTTTTTAAATCTGCAAACTCTCATGATGATAGTCGAGTAATGACTTCAAATGAAGCTGCACGGCCTGCCATTTACTCATTTTTTAAATACTTTATGGTGTAGTGGGGTTCCAATGTGGTCTCTATTATGGTGAACCAAACGTCTGCACATCAGCCAAAGAAACGATGTTGAAACCAAGAAAAATATGGCCCGACAAAACTCATAACTTGTCCATGTTGATAGCTTAACCATGCAACAGTATGCTAATTTCCTTTTAGTGTTAAATCATTTTCCACATGGAGTATAAAAGCAGATGCTGACTGAAATGAAGGTGACTGAGAATCCCATAAACGAAAATCCATGAATAAAAAATTCTATCTCGGCTTTGGTGGAATATTCAGAACAACATTAAGACTCGGGGGATTTTCAAGTGTTCAATAAATAGAAATGTTTCATCTCGATTACAATTTACTCTTTCCTCGTGACGGTCACCAGGGGCAAAATAAAACGCAGTAATGATGCAAATGTACATCCAGTCTACACCTTGAGCAAACTGAATTTGTGGTTGCATTGCCCTGATGGAGAGCTCAGGAAATGAGCCTTCAAATTGATCGAATAAACGCCTCAGCTGATACGCCGCCGAGGCATCAAATGTGAGCCACGTATGCCAGTATCATGGAGTCGTCAGTCGCTCTGAGGCCGCTTTTATAGATTGAGTCTTAACGCCATGACATAAATCTGGATAAGTCGTGCTGTAACGCTGCCTATTAATCTACGCTCTACTCTCGCAGTAACAAGATTATTTCAAGCTGGAGCTCCATTGGTGTATAGCAGAAGAGACAGCCTATGCGTGCCTCACCCAAGGGTGCATTTTAATAGGCTTTAAACTGCAGAGTGGAGTGTGACATTGCTCGTCCTCTGCTTTTGAGTAGGTCTCTTTTACTGCAGTCGAGCCTCTGGCCATATCATGCAACTTGGAGTACAGTAAGTTTGATGTCTTTGGCGCACACACTGTGTGCTTTGTTCACCTGCAAAGTCTTGAAAGTTTCACTGTTCTGAGACTGATTCTCATCGAGACAAGGGGCTGAATTAATGACGTGATATTATGGACCTGCAGTCACCTTTAAGGAGTCCAGAGGACGAGGAAGCCGTTATGGATTACTGCGGAGCAAAGGCAGTCTTAATATCGCACATCATGAACTTCTGCAGAACGGGTGTTAACTCTCTAGATCCTTATGTTAAACACTGAGTTGTTGAACCAGGCAGAAGTTCTCCTTACTGACTTCAAACTTAAGGTTTTCTGGGCCTTTTTATGAGATGAGACAGAACATGATGGGAGGAGAGAGGGGAGGATGACATGCAGCAAAGAGACAAGGACTCTAGCCTCATTACATTGTTTAGTTTCTTGTTAATTGTTTAGCACCAATACACCAAGTCAAATTCCTTGTATGTGTAAATGTACTTGGCAATAAACCCAGATTCTGAATCTGATTCTGAGAGCTGTCTCTCTTCTATCTGAACCACTTCTCTTGCCCGCTTCCATCGCTGCAACACCTGTTGACCTGATAACTGCGCAGAATCTAAAGTTAGAAGGAGGACATACTGGCTGCTGCATTGTTGTCAGAGAAGTCAGCACTTCAACATAGCATGTTTCCTTAATGATCAGATAGTAAGATACCTTTATCATCTCACTCTCTACACATCTCACTGGTTGCTCTTTTTAATATGGGATCTTTTTAAATAATGATTAAAAAAAGATTATCTGATGTCTTTACCTTTAGTAGAATGCTTTGTCATTCTTCCTGCTGTGTTCCTGTTAAGCCGAGCTGGAGCTGCAGAGAGGCTGATATCATTGTCACGATGTCTACGAGGCTCAATCTTCTTTTATTTCCTTTCATCCTTCTTTGAATGGATTTGTCTGAGTTTGTCTTTCGTGTTGCACTTCTTTCCCTTTGAACCATTTTCTCTCAAATTCAGTGTTCTTAGTTGAGTCATTGCTACTGTGAATTTATCACAGTTTGAAAACTCTGTGGTATTGTAAACATTTCAAAATAAAGGACGCTAACAACTTCTACATCTTCACCAATAATTCTGCACAAAGTGTCTCATATTCTTGAAAATCAAAAGAGCGTATCTTTAATATGATGTGATATGACTTTGTAAAAGTCTCTTTCATGCTCTTGACACAACATTAAAAAACCGCCGGTGGGATGCTTGCTCATAAAAATCCCTTTTCAAAGTCCCATTTGTTGTTTCGACACTGTGTAAATCGTGATTTAGTGCCTGTGAGGTGCATGGGAAGAGACAGATGAGGCTTACAGAGGAATACTCTCCGGTCTGTGTTCTAATATGTTCCACATGTGGCATGAGAGAAAACCATTAGCATAACTCAGGAAAAGCACGGGTCCATTTTGGATGGTAGATCTGCAAACGGGGGAACTTATTATGACGATGATATACTAATGAGACTTTAACGACTCCTCTTTAATGACACTCTCTGATTCTCTGCAGCGCCGCTCTGTCCAAGAGTTAATTCCAGCTCATTTTGACTTCATCACTTTTTACTTACTCAGTGTTTGACTCAGATTTCTCACAGCTTTCACTTCACTGTGAGGCTCTTTGAAACATTATTACAATTCTACAATTCACTGAGCAGACTCTTTTATCCAAAGCGACGTACATCAGAGAGTAAGAACAACACAAGCAAGGATCTAGAAAAAAGGGAACAATGTGAGTAAGAGCAAACGATCAGCTTTGAGTCTGATTGGACACACAGGTGCTGACAGGAAGTGACCAGGGGCAAAGCACAACATTGAGGGCAGTTCTTGAGAGCTCTAATCAGTATAGAAACCATCTTATAAGTCGTCGTTATCAAACAAAAACCATCGTCATTACCATCATCATCATCAATAATATGGAGACCATCATCATTAAGTTAGTAGGTATTCATAAAGAGCTGGGTCTTTAGCTTTTTCTTAAAGGTGCAGAGGGACTCTTTGGTCAGCGCTGCTCTGTTTCCACAGACGGAGAACGATCTGTGGGAGGTGTGGAACAAAACGGGGAATCACGGGAACAAGTGGAACCGAGCAGAGATCCCTCTGAGGAAGCTGAGGAACTTTGAGGTGATTATCGAGGGGATTCGCTCGATGGATGTGAGTGGAGGAGCTGCACTGGATGACCTGGAGTTCATTGACTGTGCCCCAAGTAGGTGATATCAACTGTGCAAGACTTAAGACCCAAAAGAACATATTTAAAAAAGATGTTGGCACTTGCCAGCCTCAACAGAAACTACTACTGTAGGGTGGCCATATTTTCAAACCTCCAAATTGGGACACTTTAATTTTTACTGCAAATCCTCCATGTATCAATCCACAGATCTGTGAACTGCACTGATCACACAAGGTGGTTTGCAAAGTTTCCTCCTTAGCACCCCTTTTTGTTGGTTGTTAGCAGCATTTCCTTCACTGAAGTAGGTTACAACAGAGCTACTTCCAGCCTGAACCCATCGTTTTTGTTTGCTTTTTTAAACTTTGTACGTCGCCATTTCTTCCATCAAAAGGATTTATTTCTTCAGAGTTATGTCTGAGATTTATGAATTGTGATTTAATAACTGTAACTCTTTCATCTGTCAGGTGTTAAAAATACAAGCTGGTGAGGAGTAAAGATCGGAAACTTGTTAAAGTTTTACTCTAAGAAAATGGAGCAACCTGAGAGGAAGGGTTTTTTTATTGCTTAAAATTCTCAACACCTGGAAAAGTCATTACAGTCACTGGTTTCCTGGGAAACATCTGTAATCACACTTTGGTCACTTTGTGCAGAGGAAGCTCAACTCAGACGTCTGACTTCTTGGATTCAAAAGATGTTTTGATTTCATCAGGACTGTCATCGTTTCATATCATTATGTTCGTGCTTTACAAAATGTGTTCAGCTTTTCAACAAACAAGTCGTTGTTCAATTTTTTGATTAAAGTCAAGAATATTTGAAGGATGGATAAACCTTTGAATCTCCTGTCTTTGTAAATGCAAGAAGATCAGATTGATGAGTGTCAAAAGCAAACATGGGATTAATGCCAGCCTCCAAAATCCAAGGTTACATCCTCATTACTCATCGAGAGGAAGCATCTGAATGAGTGATTACAGCTGAGAGCGGCCCGCAAAATTAAACTAAAAACACTTTTATTGTTGCTCATAATGAGGATTTAAAGACATTAAAAGTCTCTAATGCTCCCCTTCGTCCTCATTTCATCAAAGATATCCAACAATATTCTCCTGAGAGTAATAAATGTGCTGTGAAATTATTTTACGATCTCTTCGACTGATAGTCGGTGCGTTTGAAATCGATTCTCCCACCGGAACACGACAAAGAAAAGGAGAAATGGAGCGAGAGGAGTTTGATTTTCGGCGTGTGAAACAGATGTTCCACATCAGGCCGGACACCGTGTGGGAGGTTTCCCCTCTCAACATCCAGAAATAAACACTTTTAACACACAGAGACAAAACCACAACTGACCTACAGACCAGGAGAAGAGATGAGGATGTTTCTGAGCAGCAGTCTGCTCAGAACTAGATGAAAATTTCACATGATTTCCATCGAGCTTAAAGGCTTTATTTGTGATGTTTCACACTTAAATATAAATCAAGAATCTCCTCTGAAAATAACTCTGTGAGTCATGACTGTCTACAATGGGTGTAACACCCGAGTCCCACTGTCTGTGATGTTTTCAGAGTTTTCAGAGTCCTATCTTCACTTTGTTTACATCGCCAGGACGGCCGGCTGACTCCTCCCCTCGTGTATAAAAGTTGTTTAATTGAGGGACTAGAGAAAAGAAGAATAACATACTGTACTCACTGCTTAACTGTGTTTCTAGATCACGCTCATTTCAGGTAAATTTACATGCAGTGTGAAGATACCAGCATAATAAAGATCGCTAGCATTAGCATGCTAACACAACAATGCAGCGCCAGTTGTTTTGGTTTCATGCTGGAGCTCAAGGGCGACATCTGCTGGATCAAAAAATCACATATAAAGACTTTAAACACTAGTTACCGTAGTTATTTGTGTTTATTCTGTGATGGTATTAACCAGGAGAGAAATGAAACTCTTTGCTCATTCGAGACAAAATGTGATGTCTCTGTATTTGAAGTTTCACAGAGACAACACTCTGATGATGTCGTTCCACGTGTGCTGTTTCCTTCCTCTCTGTTCAGTCTCAAACAGAGCTGGAGGGAGGATTCTTTGATTTCCCTGACAGGCCTCCGTCTGATTTTGTTTACCTTCTTCTCTGCCGCTTGTGTCTTCAGCTACAAAGAACAGAAAGAATCAAACATGTCATTTTACTTGATTTGATTCAAGAAGGAGAGAAACTTTCCGGTTGGTGGGTCAGTCTTAAAAAAGATGTGTGTGTGTGTGTGTGTGTGTAGATGCTGTGGATTCAGTCAGCTGCCCTGCAGTCACAGACTTTGTGTGTCACAGCGGGCAGTGCATCGAGTCCCACCTGGTGTGCGACCGCAGGGTCGACTGCGCTGATGCGTCAGACGAGCGGGGCTGCGGTGAGGAGAGAATCAGCTTTCCTTTTTAACTGGGACTCACTCAATATATATTTATTTATAGAGAAAAGAACTTACAACTCAGATTTCTCTCTCTCTCTCTCTCTCTCTCTCCTCTCTCTCTCTCTCTCTCTCTCTCCCTCTCTCTCTCTCTCCTCTCTCTCTCTCTCTCTCTCTCTCTCTCTCCTCTCTCTCTCTCTCTCTCTCTCTCTCTCTCTCTCTCTCTCCCTCTCTCTCTCTCTCTCTCTCTCTCTCTCTCCCTCTCTCTCTCTCTCTCCCTCTCTCTCTCTCTCTCTCTCTCTCTCTCTCTCTCTCTCTCTCTCTCTCTCTCTCTCTCTCTCTCTCTCTCTCTCTCTCTCTCATAGCTCACACATGGGCGCTTGTGATTTCAACATGGATGACAGTCAGTGGAGGACACCTGCCAGCTCTCTCAGGACACGGATGATGACTTTGATTGGAGGATCGGTCGTCGGAGTGAGACCCCAGGAGCTGGACCTCCAGATGACCACAGTCTAGAAGGTAAGTACCTGACCCCCCCTCTATAAACCCCGACACTCAGAAGTCACACTCAGAGACAACGACTCCTCGAAATCAAAGCGGCTTCAAATAACAAGTCATACATTTAGATATCATTTTGATTCACACGTTTGTGAGATTTATTGACCTTTGACCCTTCATCGGGACAAAACCAGCACTTCCCAACACAAACATTCACGTTAATGTTTTGTTTATGTTTTTAAATTCCTCGCGTGTTTTTGTCTTGTTTCTAGATTAATAGTCCTGGTAAAAAAAACAAAAAACAAAACCTTTCCTAACTGAAGAACAAACAACTTGTGGTTCCTTCTGACATCCTCCATGTTTGCAGAGCTTTTGTAATTACAACTTGACAGCGGGAAATTGGAGCTTCCGACAGGCATGTGAAGGCGGGTTAATAACACTTCCTGATCAGTGTCAGCCCGAGTCAAACTGAGCTTAACAACATTGGACTTGTTGTTTATCTTGTGTACTGAAACTGCTGCCTCAAAACAAGATGTCTTCTACTCAGGCTGATCAATGCACACACTCAGTTTTGATTTGAATTTGTGTCAGGGGAGATGATATCAGAGTTGACATAAATAAATATGAAAACTTGGCTTTGTTGAGATATTTTTTTAATTTTTTATCTCGAAATTATGAGATAATAAAGTCACAATAATGACATACAAGGATGCATCGCGGTCACATTGAAGACTACATTCAAGGAATGTACATACAGGCACCTGGAGCAGACACAGAATAAACCACTTGAGTAAGGGACACGATAAACAAAGAGAACATTTTGATCTTCATCTCATCATTTCGACTTTTTAAAGATTTATTTTTGGGCTTTGTGCCTTTAATTGAGACAGCGGATGAGTTGGAAATCAGGGGAGAGAGAGAGTAGGGATTGACATACAGAAAGGAGCCACAGGCTGGATTCAAACCTGGGCCGCCCGCTTGGAGGACTATAGCCTCCATACACGGGGCGCGCGCACTAACCACTGAGCCACCAGCGGCCCATCATTTTTACTTTTTATGGTCAAAAAAAATCTCACCAAATTTTCAATTTTATTTCTTTAACTGGTGGAATGGGCTTCCATAGATATCATCTTATCTCCGAGCCTGGCAGAGTTGAAGGAGCTCTGCAGCTATTTGCTTCTTATCCAAATATGATGTTTATCTGAAGCATGAGAAGGAAGTTACTCCTGCCCATATGTTACTCATACTTTTACATTAAAGTCAATCATTCTATTCTTTTTCTTTAAAGGAGTTTGGGGAAAGTTTCTGTACATACATTCAGCCACTGAGAGGGAGGGCGACGTCGCCAAGCTCACAACCACGAGCCCCTTCCCGGCGAGCATCGGCCTGTGTCGCCTTCGCTTCTGGTTCTACATGCACGGCTCCGACAGGATGGGAACGCTCAAGGTGATTCAATCTGAGTGCCACATTTCCATAAATAATTCCAAGTCTTCCTTGTGTCTCAAACATGTTTGTTGTTTATTGTCATTTGGTTGTCAGATGATCCATCACAGTCCACCTGAAGGCTTAATTTGGTCCTCTCACTACATTAAAAACTGCTTACTGTCAGTCAGCTCACATCCACAGGGAGGAATCAAAGCGCCCGCCTGCCAGGAAATGATCGATCAAAGAGTGACACCTCGCACACTTGATTATCATTTCCATCTTTTATGTCTTTTTTTAGGCGTCTTTTATTAATTTCAAGGCAATAAACAATCAGCAAATGTAAAAATAAATCAACTAATCTGAGTTTGATTTCAAGTGAAGGGGAAAGGGAAAGGATGGCTCACATGTAGCTTCAGACGAGATATTCACAAATGAGCTGAAAAAGGGAAAAGGCAGAAGTGCTTTTCTGACCGGACAGTAAAACAATGACCACGGGATTTTTTTAAATATCCACGAGTTTGGCATTTCCTGAGAGAAAGACGAAAATGTGACGACTAATCCTCACTCCATCAGTTCTCGACTAGTGATGCCTGTTTTACTGAACGACTCGGGAAGTCCTTTGTTCCAGCAACAGTCAGATATTTGAATAACTCTTTTTAGTTGTAGCTCTGATTCATGTCTGTAAATCATTTCTCAAATGGTCTCAGTGGTGTTTATTTATTTACTTGTTGTGTATTGTGTTTATTCTGTGGATTTTGTTTTTTTTTGTGTGTGTGAATCGACCAAGTGGCAAATGAGTTTCCCTGTTGAGGATTAATAAAGTTTTCTAATCTTGAGCTAATGCAAATCCATAACCACAACAAGTCCCTTCCTTTCTTAATGATTTTATACAAATCACATCTGAGCAGTGCAGGGGAACATTAACAACCAATGAGGAGGAGGAGGAGGAGCTCTGTAAGGCTGTTTAGCTTAGCATTTAGCTACACGTCAAGTCAGCATGCGAACATGCTAACAGTTAAGTTAGCCCCTGGTATCATTAGCTGTTTATTTCCCGCCAAAACAAACACCTTATCTGATCGAAAAACTGTCCTGTCTGTTTTCCTGCTCACCAGATCTACACTGTTGGACCCAGTGGAACCAGACTACTCATGTGGGTAGCCACTGGAAACCATCGTAGCCACTGGAAATACGCTAATGTCATACTTTCCAACCCAGCACCTTTCAAAGTGACCTTCCAGGCGGAGGCGGGGGGTGACATGTGGACAGACATCGCCTTGGATGACATTTCCTACACTGCAGACTGTATGGAAGGAGGTAGAGCCCCATTGTTCCCTTTCTCGTCTATTTGGTTTCTTTATTTTCCTCGCTTCCTGTCCTTTGAGCTCTGGAATCATTCCTCATGACTTTTCTTGCAATTTTCACCTTCTCCAGTTTCCTCTTTTTCCACATTTTTCTGTGCTCTAATATCTTCGCTCCTGCGCTCCGTTTCCATATGAACTGTGCTGACCCTCAGGGGCGTGTAGGGAGTTAATGGAGCCTGTTGCCCTGCAGGTCTGTATGAATTCACTGCTGAGACTGGATGAGCGCTCGGGGACTGCATAGAGGGCAACAGGGGGCTGAAAGCAATTACATTTATACTTTGTTGTTTCCTCACTTCCACCCTGCCGGCTTCCTTTCACCTCGGGCTGAGTTTCCAGAGAGCCAGCGCTCGATATGTCCGACAGACCGTCAGTGTACCTCTCTGTGTCCTAAAACCAAACTCTGAGGTTTCTGACTCCACCATGAGTCTGAATATGTTGATAAATGATCAATGAATTGGGTACTTGGTGCATATTTTAGGCTTGCAGAGTTGAATTCTTGCGCTGTACTGTATGAAGGGGACTTCAGGTGAATTAAGCACACATCAGACAGATCAGATTGGCCATCTTTGAAGGTGTACACTGTCTGAAGCTTATCTATAAAGCTCTTCTTGGTTTGGTGCCTTCTTATTTATGTTCATACCTTCAAAGAACCAGAAGTGACTACGCCTTGTGTTCCTGTGATGTCTTTAAACGGTCTGTTCCTCGTGTCCGCACGGAGCTCGGGGAAAAGAGCGTTTCGTTTTGCTGCTCACACCGCATGGAACTTTCTGGCGGATCTCATTTGGCTTGAAGCCTTTGTCTCGATCTTAAAAGACATAAAAACACGAGACAATGGGACAGTGCCTGATGTGTTTCTGAATTGTAATCTGTGATCAAGATTCTGCACTTTATCTGTGAATCAATTTGCACATTGTAAATTGTTCTTCTCTCCTAACTTATTATTTGTCTCTTTATCATGTAATGTTTTTTTATGATGTGTGCTGCTGCCCTCTTGGCCAGGTCACCCTTTGTGAAAGAGATCCTGATCTCAATGGGTTCTTTACCTGGTTAAATACAAAAATAAAACATGTGTTATCATGTCCCTCTCTTTGCTCTGTGTCACTCAGGACCCGTTACCCCCCGGCCTCTGACCTGCGCTGTGGACCAGTACCGCTGCTTGTACTCCTTTCAGTGCATCCCTGAGAGCTGGAGGTGTGACGGAGAGCCGGACTGTGCTGACCGCTCCGATGAAGAGTTCTGTCCCACCCTGAAGCCCGGTACTCTTCCTCCTCAGGATCGCTGCCCTGTTGGATATTTCCAGTGTTTGAATAATACCTGCCTCCCTTCCATCCTGCGCTGTGACGGCGTGCCGGACTGTCCCGACGGAGAGGACGAGTACAGCTGCTGTAAGTGGTCCTGTTTGTGGTCAGAGTCATTCAGACTTCATCCATTCATTTTTTCAGTCCATGGTTTAGCAATCCTTTTTTCTGGCTTGTAGCAATACTCTGAACTTTGTGAACTGTGTTCTTTCAAACTGAAATTTTGCCAACCTTTGGTCCAATGAGGATTTGAGAGAATTTCAGTTCTCTATCCCGTGTGGTTTGTTCATAGAGATCTGTGAACACACCTCTAAAACAGCCTGTTTTTCATTCTCCATCGTTTTCTGTTTCCAGCTCTGCTGCAGTGTGAGCTGGGGGAACTGGTGTGTGAAGGTTCGTCTGGTTGTATCCCTCTTCAGAAGCGTTGTGACCACTCTGCTGACTGTCTGCCGTTTCACTCCGATGAGTCCAGCTGCCATGGTAACACCTTTTTACCCACCATCTCCCTTTCAGCTTCCTGCCATTAACCACTTGATGATTCCCAGACCTTGAAGCTTATATTCTAATTTTAGAGATGTAGTGATCCTCTTCCTCTGCACAGTTGGATTTCCTTTCTTGCCCGCCAGGTGTTCAGTTCTTTAACTGTTTCATACATTTCTCTGCATGTATTTATAAATACATCCATCCAATATCTCTCATGAGTTCCTCGTCACCTTTGACTCAAGTGTTGCCAAGTCCACCTCCATGTCTGCTCGTTCGCAGCAGTGACTCCCAGGACATGTCTGCCTGTTTTAGTCTTCAAAGCACACCTCAAAGGTTCCTGTGAGCTGCCAAGATCCATTAAAAGCCCCGCTTTCCTGCGTGCTCAGGAGGAAGGACCAAACTCCACATTTAGCCGGCGTTTTACTGCCGAAGTCACTTCATCAACATGAGGGTTTCATAATGGTGTTTCAAACATGATGATTATTTAAAAAGGCCGCCCTGATAACCCCTCACACAACCTGAGGCAGCCGGCGTATTATTCATCAGATGCTCTATAGCTGGCTAAATGCACATGCAGACATTCTCTGCAGACGTTAATGGATGATGCTCGATAGTGCAGCGTTTTCCCCGACCAGCAAACGTAATGCACAGATTTTATGTTCTGATGTCAAGGCAGCGTTCTTCAGTGTGCATCTGTTTTCTGTCAGAGGAACGGAGAACGGAGGTGAAGAGGTTTGAGAAAAAGATTTGGACCGTTTCATCTTTTGTGTGTCATACATTATTATTTATTTATTTATTTATTTATTTAATTATTTATTTATTTAATTTATTATTTTACATTAACAACATCTTCACAACCACTGAACAATAGCATGACACTCGTCCACAGTGAAATTCACACATTATATTCAAACAATAACAGGCTAAGAGCACTTAACTTTAAAAACTACACTAAAAAAAACAAAGAGCTATACCGCAACATATATCTCCAATACACCACAACAACATAGCCATAGTCACATACTGTATCAATACACGACAACATTATCAAACAGAGTTCATGACAAAGTGTTTTTGTGTGATGAGGACATGATTTGATTTTAAATTTAAATTCAGCAAAGCTACGGCACTCTCTGATTTTAGCCGGTATGGAGTTCCAGAAATGTTGTAGCTCTGATAGAGACGGCTGATTTGCCAAACTCAGAGGATCTGTGCTGTATGACACAATCAACAGTTTATTTTTTGTGATTTGCAGATTGTCCTCCCCTGTTTTGCCTGAATCGTGGCTCATGCCTGGTGAGGAAACACGGGCCTGTTTGCATGTGAGTTAACAAACACACACACCTACACACCCTTAAGACTGCACAATCAATCAATCAATCAAACTTTATTTATATAGCACCTTTCAGACAAATTCAATTGCAGTTCAAAGTGCAGAAAAGTTTATATAGTATAGTATATATATAAGTTTATAAAATCATTGAGAGACCAATGCATACCAAAAAGAATTAAAATAAATTTATATATATAAATGAAAAAGTAAAATATGACACATAAAAGCAATAAGATATTAAAATTAATACATAGGAGAAGAATATTTAAAATTGTAGTAGGATAAAAAAGACCATACAATTGTATATAAAACACTATAAAAGCCAGACTGAATAAATGAGTTTTAAGACTACGTTTAAAAATCTCGATATTCTGGGCTCCTCTCAGACCCTCAGGAAGGTTGTTCTTCCAAACAGAGATACACATCATGTCTCCTCTTTTCACTCCTCCTCTCGTCCTTTATCTTTCCTTTGCAGGACTTTAAAACATGGAAATCCCTTCAGTCTTCTTTTTATTCCCCCTCCTGCAAAAGACATGATCTGTGAAGCATGTGGGACTCTGCTTATCCCCCACAGCTTCACCAGGGTGCGTCTGCCTTCATTTATCCACCAGCACAATGTGTCCTCATGGATTTCTCCTGGTCAATATTTACACACGACCCCCGCTGCTCCCAGTGCTCCCACTGGGTTAACCACAGAAACCGATGCAGCAGATAAAAACTGCAGAGATGCTGTCACAATGGCATAAACATAAAGTTAATCAAACCACATACTGTGATCACTCTGTTGGAGTTTTTTTTCTTTCAGGAAGCTCATGAATCTAGTTCTCTGCATCAGCAGCTTGGAATAACTGCAACGAGATATTTCATTATAAAAAGTAAGAATGCAGTGATGAGACTTTCTGCTGGATCTGCTAACATCGATATGCTCCTCTGACTCCTTAATGAAAGATTTACATTTTCTTCATATTTGTGTCAGCTGGTTGCTTTTTGCACAAACTGGATGTGAATAGTGAAATGTGAAGCAGGGGCGTGTCCAGAGGGGTGGCATGGGGCCTCTTTGAAATCTGATTGGCCACCCCTAAAGTCCTAAACTTGGGATCAGATGTTAGAATTTTATATTTAACATTGCCTTCAGTTCATTAAGCCACCCTTGACCTTACACTGATTATGCTTTCAGTTATTGCTGCGATATGGAGCTTTCACACATGCACAAAACTCCTGAAAAATTCCTGACATTTTCGGATTGAGCTGAAAGTGTGAAGACAGACGGACATGTTTTTTTCTCTTAGACTTTACCCAGAATTCTCCCTGTCGTTTCTTTGTACATTTTCCACGTACAGGTAGGGTAAGCCGATGTGAGAACGCAGCAGGAAATATTCTGAAAACTTCACTGAGTGAGTGGGGGAGGGGGTTGATGACTGTGTAGGGCGTGATCGGTGCGATCTCTGTTCATGTTGTGAAACTTCTAGTGTGTTCCTCTGAGATCTTTTGTTGACAACATGAATATTTTATAGCAACAAACTGTCATCATCGTGTTAGACTCTGTTGCTTCGTCTGCCAAAGGAACGCCTCCTGAGATCCCCCCGCCCAACAGGAACAGTCACCTGCTGTGAGGGAGTTATGTGAACAAACAACTCAAGAAGATTTCTGGAACAGCCTGCTTCACGTTTTCTAGAAATCTTCAGGAGTGCATAAAAAAACATAAATCTGGAATCAGCTGCATGTGAAGATACATCACTCCTGTTTGTCTCTCCATCATTCACCAACTCGTATGCTTTGTATTTGATTCCCCCATCTTCATCTCCCTGTCCGACATTCCCCAACGCCATGCCACCGCCGCCGCTGCCTCCTCTCATTATGTAACAGGACTTAACTGCAGCTCCTGTAGCTGTTCCAGCATCGATAGCGGCCCTGCTGTAACAGCACCAGAGGCCAGCGTTGGAGGGCATCTCTGGCTCAGTATGTGCAGCACGTTCCTCCACACCGGGCCAGGGACCTCCTACTGCCCAACCAGACCGTCACACAATATATACCCCGAGCCCCTCTGAATGATAATGACACAGCCTGGTTTGCAGAGAGCGGTGTGTGTGTTTCGCATTACAAGGTCAATGTTACTCAGAAATCAAGCTGATGCTGAGCAGATGTCGACTTGGAGCAGAGTCTCCGTTTGGAAGAAGAAGATGAACTTCAGGGCCAAACTGCTGTTAGTCTGTTCCCATGCTGGATGTCAAACATTCACACTCGCAGGGGGAAGAGAGATATGACTTGTGTTCTTTAAATCTTTGATTATTTATTGAATTTTTCCCTTGTGGAGATGAACAGATGATGGGATTTGTTGCTTGCTAAGAAGATAAAAATAAGGAACTATTCCTTCTGACATAAGTGTACACTTTGTCTTTTATTTGACCTTCAATAAAAAATATTGCTAAAATAAATAAACGGTGGCTGCAAAAAATGACCCAGGAGTGGTGAATAAATTGTTGACAAAAGTCAGTTAGATGTCTTTGAATACTAAGAGAGAGGTAATGCTTGAGGTTGAATTAGCTATAGCAGTAATTCAAGAAAAGTTGAAGCAACGCTTTTAAATAAGTGAAATATTTAGCTAGAACAAATGGATTAAGGTGAATTCAAAGCTTGCTCCAAAGACAAATGGACTGGTTGAAGATCTTGCAGACGTTTCACCTCTCTAAACTTTCTGGCCGACAGAGCTGGCACCTTTAGAACTGAAGAAGCCATCTTCAAGATCTTCAACCAGTCCAGTTCAAGCTTTGAATTTACCCTGACCTGGATGAATCAGAACCTCCACAGACATAAACTGATTTGTTTGCTTAACTGAAAGTTTGAATGTGGTGACCCCTGACTTTCTCTCCAAATGCAGACGGTCCGATATTCTCACAATTATTTAAATCGCACCTTTAATGTTTGCACTGCCTGTTATTTAATGTCTGTTTTTAGATACTTTTTTAAACATTGCTGTACATATAAAAACAACACAACTTCAGAAGGTCAACACTTTTTTATTTTTTATATTCAGGTCTAATTACAGATTTTTTTCCTCAACTGTTTTTAGGTTCTTGCTTTAAATCTCACATATATTTTTATCCCTGCACGGGTTATGTACATTTCTTGTATAAGTCTATTTTTAATTGCACAGTTTAAGTTTGATTCATCTAGAGGGATTCTTTAAATCTTTTTTTCAGGTTAATATATATGTATGGGAGGGGGGGGCGTCGATTTTGTGGTTAATGTGTAACAAATGTTTCATGTCATGTCTTTGTAACCTGATACTGGATGCTTTGAATTTCCCTCAGGATCAATAAAGTATCTATCTATCTATCTATCTATCTATCTATCTATCTATCTATCTATCTATCTATCTATCTATCTATCTATATTTAACAAAAGTCCAGGACTTATGTAGTGATGATCTAGTCTGAAGCCTGTTGTACCACCATCACAGCTCAAACTGTTAATGAAATCTGTCCACAGGTGTGATCCAGGGTGGACTGGCAACCGTTGCCATGTGAGGCAGAAACCAGGTCTCTCCACAGCGTCACCCGAACCAGAGGACACACAGCTGGGTAATAAACAAACGCACCTCTCTGCCCGTCTCTATTAAACTGTCTCACCTCGATTTATCCTCGCATGCCCCTTTAATGTCTCTGCAGTTAATTAAAGGTACTTCTCTAAGCAAGAATCCAAAACGTCCTCCCTTCTTCTTTAGTAGCTGTGTATGTCGGCGTCGGCATCGGACTGCTGCTGCTCGCCGCCGGAGTGGCCGTCTGTGTCCTGGCCTTATACGCAAAAAAGAAACGCCATATCATGTGAGTTCTCAGTCCCAGTGAAGACATCGTCATGCTGCAGGAGTATCGTGTAAGTCATGAGGATTGTCTTTTTTTTTTCCCCACAGAAAGCACAAACTGATGGACTACGGCGTGATGGATGACCTGGCCAACGGCTGCAGAGCAGAGGTCAGCGCATGAAAAAACATCCAATCAATCATCAGCAATTTCTTTTCAGGACAACATCAGATTTCTCAGCTATACAAACTCATTTTTCCACCACATGTATTCGATAAGTGGATGTAACATCAGAGGAGGTCAGGAGGTGATGGTGAAGCCTTTCTGCTTGATTAGATTTTTGATTTAGGATTTATTGATTTTGTGGCTCTCTGAGTGTGTGTGTGTGTGTGTGTGTGTGTGTGTGTGTGTGTGTGTGTGTGTGTGTGTGTGTGTGTGTGTGTGTGTGTGTGTGTGTGTGTGTGTGTGTGTGTGTGTGTGTGTGTGTGTGTGTGTTAGATTTACACACAGAGGGACATATAGGGTAGGAAGAGACAATAACAGAACAATGGAGGACTGCTACAGACTAAGAAAAGATTGTGTCTGTTTCTAAAAATGTCTAAGTGCACTCACAAAGGTTTCAACATGTGTGTAAGCAGGCAGTGAGAACAGTGTGTGGTGAGATGTTTGAAGGAGGTTAAAGGTGTAATTATGGACCTTTAAACGGGTCAATTAGATTTTAATTGCGTCTGCATTTCATGCGCTCTCACATATTAAATCTCTTTTTAAACCCGGTGTACATTATCTTCTTTCCCCCCAGCCTGTGAGGTCATGCTGTTGTCCCAGAGTTGACCCCAGCAGGAGTGATGGTCGTGGGCTTTCAATCAGTGTCTACCCCTGGGGGAGGGAGGTGGAGGTAAGGTTGCTTCTTCTCGGCCCTGTGGGGGGTCTTTTCTCTAACTATCTGTGCAGAAGTCGGTGACTTGATGTATGTCCCTTTGTGTGTTTATTCGTCCACAGCAGGCGTCGACCTGGAGAGATGCCAAGCTGTCCTTCACCAACCCGTTGTACAATTACCCCCCTGATGCTAATAGCGCTGACTGCAGAGGCTCTGAAGCATAAAGACAATGGACTTAACATATTGATGCTGCAGTACATCAGGGTCAAACAGCGTGTGCACACACTGGATGGGTTTGTCTTGACCTGCTGGGGCGCTAAGTGAGAGGGAGACGATGCAAAGAGCAGAGGAACGTTTAGGTATTTGGAAAGGAGTTAATTGAATGTCTGAAAAGCTTCATGCTGTGATTGGAAAAAATTATTATTAATTTATCAAATAAATAATGTATTACCTACAGACCATCTGTTACATCATTTTTTATAATGTTTTCAAAGCTGGAGAGATTTAAAAAGTAAAATGATAACTTTATTGTTTGCCCAGTGGATGAAAGTCATATTTTTTTCGGTAATAGAGAGAAAAAAAATAGCAACAAACAAACAAGAAAACACCACACACAGAAGCCAGCAACCACTTTAGGGTTTTCCATCCATCCCCAGTACAATACTCATATAATAAATTAGTATATCATCACAGCTTGTCTCGCCTGCCTCGGTCTCTACATCCTCCCATCACTTGTTGCCACGGAAACCGTCCATCAATGAATTGTGCATTTTACAGTCTTAATGAGTCATTTTATAAAGTAATCTTATCTATATTTTTGTCAATTCCTTTGATGACTAATTCACATGTCTGGTTGGTTGTGGGGATCTTGTGGTACCTGTAGTCTATAAAAATGTGTTATGGGAGGTAGAGCCTTCAGTTATCAGGCCTGCTCGTGGTACCTAGAAAAGAAGGTTTAATGTCAACTTCCTACTACAATTCTACAATTCACTGAGCAGACTCTTTTATCCAAAGCGACGTACATCAGAGAGTAAGAACAACACAAGCAAGGATCTAGAGAAAAGGGAACAATGTGAGTAAGAGCAAACGATCAGCTTTGAGTCTGATTGGACACACAGGTGCTGACAGGAAGTGACCAGAGGCAAAGCACAACATTGAGGGCAGTTCTTGAGAGCTCTAATCAGTATAGAAACCATCTTATAAGTCGTCGTTATCAAACAAAAACCATCGTCATTACCATCATCATCATCAATAATATGGAGACCATCATCATTAAGTTAGTAGGTATTCATGAAAGAGCTGGCTCTTTAGCTTTTTCTTAAAGGTGCAGAGGGACTCTGCAGATCGAATCCTGGGGATAAAAATCTAAAGGACACTAAAGCTCATCCCAACAATGTATGTTGGCCACTTTGTGCACTTATAACAGTTTGTGTAGCAGTGAATCAAGAATGCCATAGTACCCCTACTTTCAGAAATGGTTGTGGATGTCTTGTGCACGGATGATTAAAGCTGTTTCTTAAGAGCTGGCTAAAGCAGACAACATCCAGTTCACTGAACTGAAAAAGCCTCCAAACAAAGTCCTGCCTTCATTAGTGATCCGAGTTAATCCCCACAAGTGCAAATAAAAAAAGTTTGCCCCCATTTTATTTGCAAATGAAAATCTATTACCAGTCAGCACGCTGCAGCTGCTTTGTGTGTGATGTGAGCTGACTCGCAGAGCAGATGGTGTTATACACACAGTCTGTTAGAAACCTCACAAATGTTAAGTCACGGCTTCTTCTCAGCTCTCTGTCATCACACATGACACCATGGATGGCCTCCTTATATTTGACAGTCCACATTGTGATTTACAAGATCAGGACATGTTTCTCTTCCAAATGAACCATAACCATTGTGCTATCATTTCCAATCCCCTTTTCAACAGACACTTGGCAAACTGTTGCACTGCTGAGATTTCAAACTGAAAAAGGAAAAATGATTTAACCAACACTTAAAAAGTTATTCTCATCAGCATTTTAATCCCTCCAGGTGAACCTAACACTTAAATGATCATCTCTAAACTTCCCATTTCTGTGTTTATTTGTCCACTTTCCGGGGGGGTTAGATTTTTGTCCTCACTGTTATATTCCAATATTCATAACATGGCTCAGACCTCTGCTATAATTCATTTATTCATACAAGACATGTTTGGATCTTTCACAGGTTCATATAAAATAATGTACTATTTAATGTCAATGGCTTCAAGTATTCTTAAAAGAGCAACCAGTGAGATGTGTAGAGAGTGAGATGATAAAGGTATCTTACCCTCTGATCATTAAGGAAACATGCTATGTTGAAGTGCTGGCTTCTCTGACAACAAAGCAGCAGCCAGTATGTCCTCATCTAACTTTAGATTCTGCTCCTGAATGCTCTGGATTTGTTTGGACCAGAGAAGGTAGGCGCTTTTAAGACACGCCCCCACACGGCCGTTTTGGACGCCCCTCAGTTTGTCAGATATGAGAGCAGTTATCAGGTCAACAGGTGTTGCAGCGATGGAAGCGGTCAAGAGAAGTGGTTCAGATAGAAGTGATTGTACCCGACCTAAAAAGCCTCTGCATGTTTCTAATAAGCTCCACGAGCAGAAACGTGTTCAAACTAGGATCAATATTGGAGATGCTTTTGAAAAATGGAGAGAGGTTAGAACACAGAAAGGTTTACAGACCCATGCAGAGCTGGATAAACACTGAAGCTTCAGAGTCCACCACATGGTGACCTGAGTGAGCATCCACTCTAGAGAGGGGGGGGGGGGAGACAGCTCTCTATGATGTTTAGAATTTAGACTGCAGTACCCATTTTAAATGTTACATGTCACAGTTACATACTGCTACTTTAAAGTAAAAACATTTTGATTTGAGTCTATAGGGAGTTGCAGAATTAATGCTCACCTAGAAGCGTCGCAGTCTCCATCCCATTCATAATAAATTTTCAGGTAAATCTGTTGGTTAGGTGAGTGCTCTGAGAGTGTGCACTTACACTCAAAAAGCCCATCAACCCTCCGCCCCGTTCCCTCATATTGCTTCAAGTTGAAGTTATGAATCTTTAACCAACACAATCTCCAACGTCATGACTCCTTAGCCTCCTTCTCCATCACTGTTGGCCCTTTGCTGAGTCTGTAGGTGGATTCTGGGTCAGAGATTTATCAGAGGGCCAGAAGATCAATTTCTGCCTTTGAGCTGCTTCACAGTTTTATTGTTTGTGCCCCTCGCCTTTATTGGCCCAATGCCTTTTCCTCTGACAGTCCCGACTCTACAGAGCCAAAAGAGGTGTATGTGGCCAGAACAGAGTTGAGACTGAAATCAAGAAATTAACATGTTTACAGCCTGGTTAAAAAAACAACACACTGTAGGTCTGATTAGTTATTAAAGGGCACACTGTACGGGGGTGAATTTTCTCAGGATGCATCCATTTTTAATTTAAAAAATGATACGTGTTCTTCTTAGTTAGACGTGTAGCTGACCTGATTGACAGGTGGGCGCGGTGTAACGGTTTGTCAGGAGGTTTAAAACCCGCCTCAGCTCCAGCTCTCAGCCTGTCGTTAGGTTGACTGAAAGTTAGACTGAGACAGCATTTCCAGCATGGCGGCTGCTGCCAATGAGCCTCCAGAGCCCCCTGCAGGAACAGATGGCTTCGTCCATTAATATTTTCTGCCTTTTCTGCAAAAAACAGAGACACATTTGACCTTTTTGAAACTAATAAAGACTGTACAGGATAATATACGAGTGTTGGGACAAGCAGTAAAAGAGTCTAGACAGATGTTTTCCTCAGGCTGCATTTTTTAGTATAATTCTATACAGCTATCCTGGTTCCAGTCTGCAGTATTCTTAACACTGCTGGAAAACTTTTAAACAATTCTCTCAAGGTCACTGCTTCTATGTTCTGAACAAACACTCTGCTCCTAAAAACATTAACCCCTTCAGTTTCATAATCATGTAAAGTATGATAAGGGCTTCCTAAAGGTTATACGATATTCTTCTTGTTTTGCAGAAATGATACAAAGATGGATTTAATTTTTGCATGGTTGTTTGTCATATATTTAGGCTATTGGTTAATTTTCCATCTTTTTTTGTATTGGTGCTAATTTTAACAAGTGCAAACAAATCCTGTGGAAGGGCATCATCCTCTGTGAATCAACTGAAACACCAACTCAGCCTTTTCACAGCCTCTACATCAGTGTTTGTTTGTCTCAACGCTGTGACATTTGACCTAACAAAAACTACAATCAATAGCCTACACAATCACCTTTTAACACTAGCATGGAAACACACACACACAAACAATGTCGCCTTGCTCTCGCCTTGCCTAGCTTGCACGCTCTCACATGATCTCCCGCTGACTGAAAACTATCGATGCTTTTTTGTCCTGTTGTTGTTTTTCTGGAAGCTTCGTCATTTGCAGCCGTTGAATAGCACACAAGAGAGCTGCGACACTCCACCAGCTTTTTGTCCTTGTGTTGTTGTTGGTGAAGCAACATTAGTCAGCTTTTCTCAGCAGAGCTATTGTTGTCACAGTTTTGTTAATCACAGAGCCGAGTCCATCTAAAGGTCACCGTTTTGTTTGCCAGCCACTCGGCTCGTGAGAGTGATGAAACCGCTCCTGAAGAGTTCAGGCGGTGACAGCCTTTAAGCTCTGGGCTCCCTCTGTCAAAATAATAGTTGACTCCTGCTTCATTTACATAACCACTCAACTGAGTCCTCTCTCATCCTGGGCTGTCAACCTGCTTTTACAGCACTCAGCCCATTTCCCTCTCCTCCTGCAGCTTGGGAAACGGGTGGTTACCCAACCTGCCCAGTCAGGGCAAGGTGACATTTACTCTGTTTCTTTTAACAGTATAACTCAGAATTGGTTTTTCCCATCCTCTGGGGCAGATAGTGCATATAAGAAAATGTCAGTTTCTTCTCCCTGTATCCAATAAAAGTTGAGCATTCTTCTACAAATTTCCAGGAAGACACTGCTGGAGAGCTTCCTGTGTAGTGTCTCTTGGTTTGGGACTGTAAAAGAGTTTTATCTTTGTCTTCACTGCCTCATTTGTTGAACAGAAAAGGTTAATTATGACCAGAGAGAAATTGTGAATTTTTTTTTTGCAACCAATTACACCCCTTTCTGATCTGCCACATAAATATCGACCTGTCTAATGCTCTGCTGCTTTCCCTCATTGAGAAGTGATGCTTGATTATGTTTCTAAATACGAGAGTTTTTGCATCCAAACGTGCTGAATTAATGAGATTCTGAAGTTTATCGTTCACTTCGTGAGATGAGGCTTTGGGGAATAATTGGGTTGGTATAAAAAGATCTCTGATGTGTTGTTTATTCTGCCACAGAAAAAGGAAATATACAGAATTTCTCAACGGGAGGTTGATCAATATATGATCATTTGTTAGAAAACTAGAATATGTATGAGGCCAACTCGTTGGATTAACCCTGTGTTGCATTGTTTCTACCTGCTATTACAGTTTTTATAGTGGCGATGTCGGCCATCTTTTATGAAGTAAGGCTTATCTCTGTTAGGGTTTGAGCCTCTAATTGACCAAACACCTTTCTGTCGGACTGACAATCTTCATAAAAACTGTTCAATGAGTGGGAAAAAATGTTAAATCTAGGGCAATATAATGAGAAAGAAAGAGAAAAACACTGGCATATGAGCATCTTCATGAAGATGGGAGATGTCCAAAATGCCTTGGCTGGAAGAGTGGAGTAAACTGTAGAGTGCTATCAGACTCAGCTATACTTTTCAAACACATTCAGCCCTATTTTACCTTGTTTACCCCCCAAAAAAGAGCAAGTTTTTTGGGGGGAATTTAGTTTCAGGCTTCTAAATATAGTCCCTGAAACAACCGACCTTTTTCAATATTCCACTCAGAGCAAAGCAAAGGATTGTGTGCTTTCAGGTCTTGTTAATGTAATGGTGAAATGGAAAAGCTAATAATGGGTGTTGCTATAATGGAAAGACAGAAACAGAGCGGTGCTTGTTCACTTGTCGGTGTGTTCAGTTTGCCACTCCGCCTCACTCTGTTTAGTGAGCAGCCAAGTGTCATAAATGCTGCCGTGACATACTGCTCCGAAAAACTCAACAAGTGGGACCAAATTCCAGACATTTAAGCACTCTATGGAGAATTTACACTTACCCCCAATCCTCAAATCAAAGTGCCTTGATGTCTCTGGAAGTCGCCCATTTCATTTTTATTAATTTAATCACAGACGTTTTGATGCTCTGTAAGGTCACCCTGGGGAGAGTGAGTGTGGTGTGGTACCCAGCCAAACTAAAGATCATTTCACGGCATGGTTGACTGTTCCTGTTTTACCTCAGACATGTGAGGAGTCTGGGAGAGTTCGTGAGAGCGGGGGGAACTAAGGCTTAAGGAGCAATGAAAGAGGATGCTTTAGTCAACTGAGGACTAGCTTGGCTTCTTTTCCCTCAAGTTGTGAAACAAGGTGATGAGAGCAGCAGACTGAATGAAGAGATGTTGCCGCCCAGTCTGTGGTTCAAAGCTTCATTCTGAAAGAAAAACGTTCTCCAAAACTCTTGGCAGTGCTTACAATAAGCAGATACTATAGGGCACAGAGGCAGCTCTCCATGACATTGATTTAGTTGATGGTATTTTACGACATCTTTTCTTATTTTTATTAATCGAGTTTTAGATCATTTTGAGCCATCAAACAGTTAGGTTTTAGGGTCCCACAGTTGGAAATGTATCCCTGTGTGTTTACTGTCTGGACTATGCAAGACAAAGGGAAGTTTGACCAGATGTAAGCATATGGACTGGAAATAAAAGGGGACCTAATATTGAACCTTGTGGTACTCCACAGGTAAGGTGAGTAGTAGAAGATTAGAAGGTTACCTAAAGTTGCCCTTTAAGTTCTTCCTTGAAGAAAAGCAACAAATTACAGAATCCTTGATGCAGGATGAGGTTATTAGATAGTCTATGTTCCACTGTATCATAAGCTGTATTAAGTTTTTCATTTATGTCAAAGTTTAGCCTCATTATACTGATAGTTATTTAAAATATTCAGGTTTGACTGTTCCTTATCTTTCACTATGCCTGTTTCAGAATGAGTAACATACTGTTCTTCAAACTGTTAACTTTGATCACAGGGTAAAAAAGACAAAACTGAAGGGCTCCTCTGGAGTGAAATCATGTTCACTGACCCTTCACAGGTCTGGCACAGAGCAGCAGCTGCATTCATTTAATGCAGAAACAATTCCCGTAACCACTGCTGCAGACTCTTTCATTGGCAGTCGCAACTCTGTGATGATAATGGGACAGATGACTTTCTATGGCTGTGGAAGATAATCAAGGTAATGACTAATTACTGACAAAGCTATGGAGGTAATTGCTAATTATTGATCTGTTCTCATTTTGGGAGCCAGAATTGTGTGCTGTTAGACATTCACTGAATATTAGTTCCCTGCAGTTTGGATTTTGATTCCAATTTGTAACCACTAAGATGCTTAAAAATGAATTTGGTATCAAAATATATATATAGTTTGAATGTTCAATATGCATGAGAACTAGCCTGATACATTTTAAAATTGGTCCTTTATGCAAGATTTTCCTCCCAGTGTTGAGCTTTTCCGTGACTTGTGGCTCCTGAATTCCAACAGAGTGTGTCTTAATTGGAACAAGCATGTGGTCCAACTCATTCTTCCCGTGCGAAATGAGTGCAAGAAAAAGTGAAGTGAGTCCTGAGTGCTGAGAGAAATGCTACTGGAAAAAAAAGAAAGAAGGTTCTCTTACATGTGAGGTTGCCAAGCCTCTTCTCTCTAACATGTCAGCTTGAGATGTGACTTTTTCTGTGTGGAGGGGAGATCTTAAAGTCAGGGTTGGTCATTTCCTCCAGATCCACTTTTTAAGATTTTGGTGTAAATTGTCTTTAGGTCCTGACAGAAATGAATAACTCATGTTCTCTGAAAAAGGAACAAAGAAAATCCATCATCTGTATCAGTTTGTAAGTCTGTAAAACCTTCAACCAATGTCTGCCACGAGGTACAATCTGATGAACCAATCAGACGTCTCCCTGTCTCCCTGCTCGCTCTCTACCTCTTGCGTGCTCTAGCTCACACTCAAAGCTCGTCACCATGACTTTAGGAGTTTAAACTGTGAGTTTACTGAATGAGACATGAGACGACGTAGTTTCTACACAATGACAGAGATGAGCTGAGGTCCACTTCTGGAGGGACGGCGCTCTGTGCATGTGAGGGGGCGTGGCTTTAGAGGGAGCACAGAGGGGGAGGGGGTGCAGACAGGCACTGAGGGAATGCCACTTTCAAAATCATGCTAGTTTTGAGAAAATGACCAACCCTGCATGTCTTTATAGCACTGTTACCCTTTAGCATATTCTCTTATATTAGAATTATTGCTCTTTAATTTGACTTTGAGCAGATTGCAAGTTGAAGAAAATTATCTTCGTTCTGTTTCATATAAAAAATGGTTGAACACGTTGTCACCTGCTCTCTGTGTACAAATTGACTGATGTTGACAGTATGTTTTGTGCAGCTCTTGAGCTGTGAGGGCTTTTTTAAATTTGTTAATGCAACAGCCTGAAATTAATATTGATGCCTTTTATATGGCCGACAAAAACAAACAAGAAAAAATCAGCAACACGATTATAAAGTCTAAAGTGATTTAATGCTTGTAACTGCTGCTGGGCAAATGTCAGATGAAGTTGGTCACAACACGCTGCACAAACAAAACAGCTTTTTGTCGTTTAAAAGGAAGCAGGATGAGATTTTCGTGTCAAAAAGGCTTCTCATGCATGTCCAGGATAGATCAGTAAAGGGATAGGAGGTACGGCTTTGTCCACAGGAGGTCGTCAAAACCAACACAACTTTGAAAGTTCCTCACAGGAGCTTTAAAGTATCATTTTTAAGATAAATGCGGTTGAGTAAGTGTACTTCTACTTATTATGAGCCACCTGAAGAGGGCACCCTCACAGTTCAATCACCTGGTAGTGCCAAAATTAACACAACCAAAAAGTTACTCACATCTTCTTTTAAAAATGACAAAATAACATAATTTAAATCAAACAAAACTCCAATCAGTTCACATAAAATGTAACCAGTTTATGCCCTTTAATAGACACTATCCTTCGTGCTTATTAAATAAAAATGTCCCTAAGGAGACCCTGTAAGATGTTGAACATCTTTTGTCTGCTCACAAACAGACGGCCTACAGCAGCAGCTCCTGAAGGCATCTCTCCACATCACTCGCACGCTGCTTGTCAGACACGCTGCACATAATATCCCAAGGCAAGATATCTGAAAGTCTCCCAGGCAGACGGAGAGACGCTTTGTGTGTTTGTGTCCTCCGCTCCCTCTCCTACACACACACACACACACACACACACACACACACACACACACACACACACACACGCACTGAGCATCAAACAGACGAAGAAGAACCATTGGCTCGGAGGAGCTGATGACGGAGGGAGCGCACCGTCTTCACCAGGAGCGCAGCAGAACACACACACACACACACACACACACACACACACACACACACACACTGCACCTCCGAGCTGTGGGATGAGAGCAGTCCGTGCAGCTGGGATGAGCACTTAACTTGGGAACTTTTATTTTCTTCCTCTGCTGGTACTATTCTGTGTGCATTCCGGAGAGCTGTTGGGACGAGCGCGTTTTTCTCTCCAGGAGCGCGCAGTGTGGCGCACGCTGGACAACAAAAAAGCAGCTCGGTGCAGCGAGTGCAGCGCAGGCAGGTTTCCGTTTTAAAAGCAGCAGGAGAGGCAGAGGAGTTACGGAGTCCGTGTGGGGGAAGCGAGGCAGGAAATCACGGAGACCTCTCTGTTAACAAAACGAGGAATATTGAAGGAAATCAGAAAGCAGAAGTTGGATATGGCGGCGCTGAAGACGGTCGACCTCCTCGTTGGAGTTGTTTTAGTTTTGCACTGTGTGGCAAATGCACGAGCCGAGATATCATCCAGTAACGGTAAGAAACAGCACCTTGTGCATTTACCAGACCTGCAGGCTGAGGTCCGGGTCTTCATGTACAAGTCAGATGCTTCTGCAAAACATGCAGGAGACAATGACTCGTCCTGCTCACGCTAACAGACACAGTGGAGAGGGGTCTGCTTTTGCACGAGATTTACTTTCTTTGTTGCTTTTTGCATGAAACCTTTTATTTATCTTCCTTAAATATAAGTTAAAGTTTTGTGTGTGCAAGAAATAACAAGACAGACACCCTCGAGGCTGTTTCTCTTTCATAATTTTTTTTTAGGCTGTGTAAGAAGCTATGTTGACCTACTAACTTCCTTTTTTCTGTAGAGATCAAAGACTTTGCTTTACTCCAATTATCATATTTTCACATCTATTTCAAGTTTGAATTAATTGGCTTGCTGTATTAATATTTGCTCATGTACATTCCCCCCAGGCTGGGCTGATTATTACTGTATATTGTGCTGCTGCACAGTGAAAACAATCAGTGCACGATATTTCAATTTTAAACCTCCCCTGGAACTGAACTGGCTCTTTAAGACAAGTTTCTCAATGTGACCTGGAAAGTCGTGCAACCTTCTGCAACTTTTTAACAGATTTAAGATAAGTCCACTTTGCACAGCACAGGTGTGTTTCTCAGTAAAAGTCCACAGAGCTTTTCCTTCACCATGTCCTTGAGGATTCCTTGTCCTGTATAGTGTGAACAATATCCTTTCTGTAAAGCCATAACTTGCACACCTACAGTCCTCTAATCTCAAATCTAGTGCATCATATGTGCTACTGTACACCACACACACACTCCACACACACACTCCACACACACACCCTGTGTCAGTCGTGGAAAGTTCATGCCAGCGTTGGTTCTGTCCACACAGGCGAGCTCTTGTTTCCCAGGGCTTTTATTGCTGGCTGCAGTTTTTCATCACATATCAGATAGTGGTTAGAGAAATGTTCGGCTGCTGACAGTGACTGTAAATTAATCCAGTGTGTGTGTGTGTGTGTGTGTGTGTGTCTGTGTGTGCCTGTGTGTGTGCCTGTGCGTTCACAGACCACAGAGTGGATTGAATGTCTTTGTTTGGGTGGATGCTATCAGTCGCACACACTTTTCAGGTTTCACACATTTTGGAAATTCATTTCATCTGCTTCTGGACTCCAGCTCATTCAACGTTTGTGCTTTTGTGGAGAAACAACAGCTTGTGTGCCTCAACACAAACCTAGATTTAGAGTTTCTCATGGGGAAACCTCAGAATGAGGCTTGTTGTAGAGGTTACAACACCATAAAAACACAAGAAGCATTCCCGTCTAAAAAAGCTTCTTCTCTGGCTGGAGCTGGACACTTTTAGCATGTAGGACAGTATTTTTAGACATCCAGGCATGGTGCTTCCCTCGCCGTGGACTGACCTCGACTCATGCTGCTGTTATGGAGTAGCCCCCTGTCCTTACTTGGGATTATTAATAAAACGCAGGTTGTCCATAAAGTGCACTTTTAACCACCTGAAAAACCTTCCATGCTGCGATTACAAAGTGTCTCAGCAGAGCTTGAAATGAGCAGACTGCTCAAAGCGTTCATTCCCCTCCCTGCATGTATTAGTCAGATGAGCTGTGGAGCACATCTGGGCGAAATTACACCACGTCCTGTGAGCTCAATGCTTCTTTTTTTTGTAAAAAAGCTTTCAGCTTGTGATGTTAACCAGCTGATGCTCTCACTAGTTGCACATTCATGAAATTGGGGCTGATTTGGGGGTTAATCTGCACTCCTTTTCAAAGAGAGATGTTCCATAGAGTCTGGAGTGTGTCTGCATGTGAGAATAAAAGAGAAGGAGAAAGCATGAGAGAAAACGTCTCGCCTCACATAAAGAGGTGGTTTGATTTAAGAGCCTGGTCTGAGGGCTGTTAATGTGCTAAGACTGTGGTTGTGTGTGTGTGGAATGACATCGGTTGTGAAGCCTGTGTGGAGTTGTGTTTCTGTGCAGGCTCGTGGAGGTTTGGTACAGAGGGGTTAATACACTCACAAGCTGCGATGTGAACGTCTCCGTCTCCTCATCCATCATGCTGCCAGCAGCCGCCTCTGCAATCATACAGACTCACACTCTGAGGCACATAACACACTCAGAGGCACATTGGAGTGTGAGCTGCAGAGAAACATGCCAATTGACCTTGGGCAGTAAAGTCCAGAGGAAAATTTGGCCGTTTGTGTTCACTCATGCAGCTCACCTGGAGTTTTTGTGCATATGAGACATGGAAGACTCTGCAGTTGTTAAAGTCTTTCTCTGTGATGTTTCACCCTTAAATGTAGAAATCAAGTCTATCCTCTGAAAATAACTCTGTGAGTCATGACTGTCTACAATGGGTGTAACACCCGAGTCCCACTGTCTGTGATGTTTTCAGAGTTTTCAGAGTCCTATCTTCACTTTGTTTACATCGCCAGGACGGCCGGCTGACTCCTCCCCTCGTGTATAAAAGTTGTTTAATTGAGGGACTAGAGAAAAGAAGAATAACATACTGTACTCACTGCTTAACTGTGTTTCTAGATCACGCTCATTTCAGGTAAATTTACATGCAGTGTGAAGATACCAGCATAATAAAGATCACTAGCATTAGCATGCTAACACAACAATGCCGCTTGTAAAGCCTTTAACATGCATTGTGGGAGATGAATGCAGTGAGACAGAGAGAGGGAGCGGGTGAGACTGGAGCTCAGTGTGTCCTGACAGTCTGAGCCTATAGCAGCTTAGGGGCTGCTCCAAGCTTGAGACATGCAGCTCTAACTGTTAGAGCCCCCTTTAACCTTTCACTTTACCTCTCATGGTATGGTAACCTTTTCAGTGAACAACAAAAACCACCTGTCCAGGTTTGTTAAAACAGCGGCACTCAGCAGCTTTCCATGTCAGATACCTGGAACAGCTCTGACCCATCCACTCTTTCAGAGTCAGCTACGAGCTGCCCAGTGGGAAAAAAGAAACACAAACCTTAAACAGTATCTGTGTGTGTGGTGAATGTGAAGTGGGCCGTGCATGGAGGGAAAAAAATCAGATTTTAAGTTGTGGAATTTGTTTTATTTGAACTGGTTTTTACCTTAAACCCTGCGTCCTCTCACAGCGAGAGGAAGACACTTTGGTATTTTTCCATCGCAGCAATGTCTAAAGACAGAGTTAATAACAAATGTCATGGAGCAGGGGCAGAAGACATGCTGAAAGACCTACTCCCTTTTCCACACATTTAGAATCACAGCTGGTGACACCCCCACATCTACAGTTCATATTAAATAATGCCTTCTACAACTTCAACAGCTGATCTTTTTTCTGCTGTGTCACTCTCTCTCTAAGTCAGATGATTCCTGACATAAACTCTGTGCACAGACGTTGGTCCAGCTCGGTCTCCTTTAGTGAGGAGATTGTAAGCCTCCTTGGAATCTCACCCCCCCTCCCGCCCCCCTCCCGCCCCCCTGTGTCTCCCCACATCTTTCTGACACTGCACATTTCAGGACGGGCAGAATGAGTCGGCCTCTTTATTGGCCCTCTCAATGACCTGCTGAAAAGGACCTGCCATGAATGGATGACGGGGGTAGGGCGATTTTCAAGAGACAGGGAGGGGCGGTGGAGTTTATATGCAGCCACAGTGGGTCGTGCCATACATCACAGAGGCATAGAGGGCAGGGTCGTCTCCTCCAATACCAGCGTGCAGCACCAGGCTCTTGCATTAGTCACAGCCCGGCGGCCCCTGGTCGCTGATCTTCCCCCCGCCCCCTTTTTTACCCTGTGAAGAAGAAGCCCAGTTTGATGGCTGGAGCGGCATGCAGAGTTCAATAGGCTCCGAGACAAAGAGCAAAGAGGCTTGTAGTTAATGAAACCCCGGCTCGGTTAAGCTTCTCTTTAGCTCCTCCTCATTGTCTTTCATGTGGCTCAAAAAAGCTCCTTCACTTTCCAACTGGAGTCATCAGTCACTCGTTATTTTTCTGCACATTGAGAAGAACAGACTTCTGGATCTCGTTCAGCAGAGCGAGTTTGAAAAGCTCATGAAGCAGGAGTGAGGAGGATGTTGTTATGAAACTATACAGATCTTTAACGTCAGCGCTTCTTAGACCGCAGCGTCCTCCACATGCGGGTGGTGTTATCTGCTCCTCCCGACGACTCTGCAGCCAGAGGAGCGGCTTGATCATCAGCTGAGGACGAAAATCAGGAAAATGTTTTAATTGAAGAGGGAGGGATAGAGGAAAAGTTTGAGGAGATGATTATGAGAGGGAGGAGGCCTGTTTGCTGATGGGAGGAAAGAATTACAGCATCTTAGAGCACAAACAAACCACTCTTAAGTAGAGCGTGATGGATTCAAGCAGAGCTTACAGGAACATGTTTTATGGGAGTTAAAAAAGTTCCCATCGACAGTTTTCTGGATGTGCATGTGTATTATGAAGAGAACTTGAGGATGTGTTTTTCTAAGTGAACATTTTCAACACACAAAAATATGAGTCTTTGTTCAGCATTATCTGAAACATGCCTGATAAGTTGCAGCTTTCTGTGGTTTTCTTCTGTTTGTGTATTTAAGCCCACATCACATCGAGGGCACGGAGATAAACCAGTTATGCCGGGGAAATCTGGGTGGCCCAGTTACAGGGGGAAACTGCTGCAGGGAGAAGACAACAAAAGATGTGCAGAAGAAAAGAGATTGTTTTTGATCAAGTTTTGCACTAAAAGAAACAGAATAGGGTGACACAATTTGGAAGAATGAGCAGAGTGGTCCATCAAACAGGAAATGCAGACTGAAAAATCAAGAGATGATGCATGTTGTGGTTTTGTGCACGATGTTTCAAAAATATTGAAGGATGGATATTAACCTTTAAAACTTCTCTAATCTGACCCGTTCTGATGTCGTCACCATGCTCACTTACAAACCTTTTTTCTGTGTGGTCTTGCCCGTGTGTAGGAGGACTGCTGGACCTTTGAATTATCGCTGGACATATTTCTCTACTCTGGCAGATTTAATGTTTGTGCAGGATCC